GCAGCAAACATTCACGCGGTTTTCTCTTTGGTCATCTCCGAGCAAGCGAGGAACAAATTTTGCAGACACCCTTCTCATGTGCAAACCTTCGGTTAAAATTCACTAGACCGTGCTCCATGAGATGTTCATTTCCTCAGAAAGTTGGTCAATGGTCTTTCGACGATCTTCATCAAGCAAAATTTCATGCACTCTTTGTTCCTTCTGGTCGGCCATCTCACTAATCGCCAAAGGGTTGAAACAGGAACGCACACAACAGAGCACCACAGACAAACCACTTAACTCAGACTGACGCCAGCTCACTAACAGTCGCGGGAGACCCCCAGCTAGCACCACCTAGCAGCACAACTCGTAACTAAAAAGCGTGCGCGTGCAACAGGTCGGTTCCGGTTATTTTTGGGTCCCCCTTCGTATGTTATAGGGACAGCTTTACCTTTTTATGACATGTATACAATGCATAAAGATTTGTGCCCCTAGCACATGCACCATTACTTTCCTGAAGGTACTACCTACACAGTTTTATTTAAAGAGATGGTCTCCATAAATTACTGAATTTCACTCAAAATCACTGGAGATGTTTTTGGAAAATCACCATTTTGTCTTGGGGGGGAGGGTATTTGGCCGTTATAGTTGGAGTTAGAACCATCATACATAGCGCACTCAAAACACCAGCATTTCATATTCAGATGGGGTGAAAACATGTAAGTACTTATTCTTTCAACATGACAATACCTTCTCATACATGTCATCATATTCAGGGGGGAGGGGGGGTTAATGTATAAAGCTGTCAAAATCTTGAAAGTCATTTCTCTCACCATCACAATACGTGCTCACACACTGTACAAGAGAAAGTACAAGCAGGTTAACAATTGAATGGGCTTGACTGGAGTATGTAAGAGCATCCAGAAGAATGTGCAGAATCCTCAGAAATAATCTATATAATTGAAAAACCTCCCTCAAGTAACTCTAAAATCAATCCAGAATCATTAAGTTCTAGAATCCATTAGAACACAAAAGTATTATCAAAGGGGACATTCATGAAGCTAATGGTACATTAGATTATTATGTCAGTTTTGGATACTTCCAAAGATTGGAATGGCATCTATACATCAAAGTCAACATACACCTCATGATTGTTACAGGTATGGTTATTATGACCAAACATGAAGAATACAAACTGATATGGAGTTTCTATCCTGATTAGATTTATCAAGGAAGCTGGCTATAAAGCCAAACAAATGCTATTAATCTAGCACACATCCATAACACAACAATCATTCTTAGAAGCTGCTTTGTTTTCTTTTGGTGTCATGATCACAACTTCTGTTAGGCACCAAATGCCAGCAGTATATTTACTTGGTCCTCACTAAATGTAATGAAAATACTTAATTATGGCACATTACAAGTTCCTGGTTCTAAAATATGGTATATTATCAAAAGAGGGAAAATAAATTATAAATGTAAATGCTGATGCCATATTTCAGATGACATAAAATCAAAATTGTGATCATTACAATTACAGGATGTTGGCAGAAATTAACAAGTATAACTTAAAAAATGTTTTTTTCACATGACACTGAAATCATTCATTGAGAACCCTTACAAACACTGAAGTCAAAGTCATGCTCATGCTTCACATTCAGCAGATCCCATGTTCAAATCCTGGCCTACAGGTGACCTCTCCCAATGAACTTTCTATGGATTTCCTCAAGCCTTCCAGGCAAATGTTAAATTAAGCCACAACTTCGTTTCAAGTCCTTTCCAGTTCATTATTCATTAATCACTCTACTATTTGATGCTATGCAGTTTGAACTACTGACATCATCACTACATATAACATAAATAAATAAAATGAAATAAAATTTAATGGGTCAATTGTAATGCCTTAAGATGCTAAAATGTGTAACAAGTGCTAAATATCCATGGGTATTCAGGTCAAAGTTACTGGACAGTGATTGAGGCTAGCTCTTTCTAACGGACCCAACTGAATAGGTATTTTCCTTCACCTGAGGACGGAAACAGATCCAGTTTCCCAAACGTCGTGTTTTTATTTGTTATCTTAAAAACCAGGACGACGGATAAAGTCCAAAAACCCAACATATCAGTCTGATTTCTTATATTTGCACAAGAAGCCACAACTTCAAACACACCAACTTCTGTGGAATGCATACTCAGTAATAAGACAGTAGTACCTATTGATGTGCAAAGATAACTTCTAGAGCACTCTGACTCACCCTCTCCAGTATGCCCTGTTGTCTTCTGATGTAGATCAAAATTGTCTTTGTTGGAAAATCTCTTGTTGCACGTATTACATTCAAATTTAACTCCTTTGTGATAGCTCCTAGGAAAAAAAATTGAAAATATTTACAGATATAAAACTCACAAGAATAATGACCATATAACAAGAATAATGAACAAACAGATTTTACGTACTTATGTACAATATATCTCCCCTTATGCTGGAAACCCCGACCACATATTTCACACTGAAAACGAATCCTTCTTCTCTTGCCTCGAGGTCTACCTCTTCCACGGCCTCGATTAACAATTACAAGTTCTCCAAGGTCTTGTCCTTCTTGTGTTTCCAGGTGACCAATAATCTCTGCTGCAATAGGTATAATTTTGATTCAACTGCTAGTGAGTAAGGAACAACAGAACTACTGTACATGAAGCAGACTGGCTTCTTCAAGTGCTTAAACTAGATCACACACTGACTTCAAAAACAGTTACACAACAGCATGATCATACATCTGTTCTGTGTTTAAAGTGGACATGTATAAAAATCTTTCTTGTTTATTTGAAAATGAGAATGAAACATTCAAGCAGTCTTCTTTTATCATGTACCTTTAGAAAATTAAAAATGTATCTGGCCTACTAGATATTTTCTGAAATCTCTAAATACAAAACTTTCTCTTAAAATAATTCCACTCAATTCACTCGACATAAGCAAGTGTGTTGGCTCTTTGAATCTGAGATTGATGCTTTTCTTATGAATATCACAATATATAAGTTAGTAGGTAAAAACTTCAAAGAAGAAATAACAGATTAAGAAATCAATAGTTTATGCACACATTAAAAATACAGATTGAAAGACTAAAACCACACCAAAAAATTCTACCACAATAGTGTTCACCTAATATGAAGATTTTCAGAGGACCTGTAAAAAAGAAATTTCTTAAAGGGGAACACTTCTTATAAGGGAAATGTAAAAGTAGGTTTTTTTTTTATCCACTGCTGTATTCTGATCCTGAGAAAGTGCTTCATAATATGTCAATTATTAAACACAGAAATGCATATTATCAAGGCAAATTGGAAATATGGTGGCAACATCACAGCTCCTTATTTACTTTAGTGCTGAAGAAAAATTAACAAAACAAGTCATAATGGACCACTTAAAAAAACACATAAAAATTGCTGGTGGCAACAAAACCAGAACTAACAACAAAATTATATATTCTATACAACCAATGTAACCATACTGTCAATTACATTTATCAATAATTTTGCTGTTTCTTGAAATACAGAGTCCACAGTCACTTGTTTTGTAGGTTTCTGTGCCAGTGCTGAAACAAGCTCGTCTATTCCCGAAGTTCTATAACCATATGAACACATGGTCAATTCAGATTTGCTTCCAATTTCTGTAAAATATTACATTATCTCCTGCCAGTCTGTTTCCTCTGTAATGGAACTGCAGCCATATTTCATTTAAATTACTTTACACCACAATGAAAGTAACATCAACAGTTTCTTGTTCCTATTAAGCTTATAAAAGCAAGCACATACATATTAGACCAAGCTCACTGGACAATGAAACAGGAATGCTGTAAATTGAGTGAGAAGAAATGAATGTTCAATTATATGCTTCATGCAGTAAAAGATTAATAACAAAAAACATCGAACCAGAAATGAACAGTCAATAGGTCAGGTGCAAATTATTAAGCAGTCTGCAATCTATCATCAGCTATGGCACAGTTTGACTAGCAAGAAATGAACCCTTTACAACATATTACGATCAAACCTGCACATTGTATGAAATTCATCAGTACTACTGTATAAGCATTAAATGGGAAATTTCTGTATAAAAATCAAAGGAAATTAAAAATTTTGACATTATACTTATAGGAGTTCTAGTGGGACTTCAAAATTCTAACTTCCTACATGGGAAATCTTTGTACCCAGGAACGTCTTATCTGGTAAACTCTTTACTTGGATATCACTTCAGAAGCCATGGCTACCATACACACTGGCATAGGTACAAGTAAGTTTCTGCATATCTTTGACAGTTCTATATTCAATCCACAGAAGAGGACAGGAAACAAAACAGTTATGTTTCTATGTAAGATCTGAGATTTTCACGGCGATGACTATGAAGAAAGCAGTCTTCTGGGATGTGGTACTGTGTAGATATTGTGTTAACCGACGTTTCGGAGGAACGTATCACCTCCATCTTCATGGTAGAAGAAAAAAGTGGAAAATCGGTGAGCAAGGAACCAGCATGAGAAGGTGCTAACAGACTCATGTCAAGTGGAGTAAACCCAGCTGTTATGAGAACAGGAAGAGGAGGGAGAGGGGCACTCGCACACCGGGTGCATACAGTATCCCCTGCAAGTGTGGCAAGGTCTATATTGGGCAGACGGGCTGTTCCATGGACATGAGGTTAAGAGGAGGGAGAGGGGCACTCGCACACCGGGTGCATACAGTATCCCCTGCAAGTGCGGCAAGGACTATATTGGGCAGACGGGCTGTTCCATGGACATGAGGTTGAAGGAGCATCAGCGGCACATCCATCTCGAACTTCCAGACAAGTCAGCTGTGGCTGAACACAGCATCGATTTGGGAAATCACATTCAGCTTCAGAATACCTCCATCCTTGGCACCAAGACCCGTTATATGGATCACATCATTAGGGAAGCCATTGAGATTGAACTCCATCCCAACAATATGAACAGAGAAGGGGGGTTTTGTCTCAGCAAGTCATGGAAGCCTCTCATTTGTTCCCTCAAGAAACCCCCGGGACATGATGCCTGATCCACAGGATACGCAAGTCCATGCCCAACCCGCATAACAGCCCCAAAGCTTCAGAGTTAATACCCTCCAATTAATCTTGCCTTCCCCGCCCCTCTCTTCCTGCTCTTATACAGCTGGGTTTACTCCACTCAACATGAGTCTGTTAGCACCTGCTCATGTTGGTTGCTCGCTAGCAGATTTTCTACTTTTTTCTTCTTCCCTGAAGATGGAGGCGATACATTCCTCCGAAACGTTGGTTAATACAATATCTACACGGCGCTGCATCCCAGAGGATTGCTTTCTTCTCAGTTATGTTCCTGTATGTAACAGATGAACACATATGAAGCAAATTTTACCATCATTTCCATCATGATCCCCAGTAGTTGCTTTTTCTTCTATTTCATCTTCCTCTTCCTCTTCAGGTTCATCTTCATCAATTACTCCCTCTTCTCGGAATATTCTTTCCAATTCCTTTCCTTGCACAGCTTCCCTGAACCTTCCAATACAACATGTAATCATTCAAATAGGATATGAAAATAAAGCAATACAGATGAATAATTAAAAGAACCCCATTTTCATGTACTCACAACTCATACAAAACAATAAAATCACAACTGAAGAGAATAAGGTGAGTTCTTTCACAATCATGGTAAGTCAAGACAACTGATGGCTGTTTTCTGATAACTGGTTCACTTTCAACAGTAACTGAAGTGACCATGAAAACTATGCAAAACATAAACTAAGAAAAACTCTTCAACTATATTCACTATAAAAAACTTCAATCGTGACAACCCATCTCTGGGTCAAAAGCCAAACCTAAGAGTCAGTGTGCAAACCATAATACTGCGACAAACGGTAAACCTCAAACTGAATAGAATTGGACACTAATTCAAGAAGGAAAAAACCAAGAGCAACACTATAAAGTTTATATTTACCCTTTACTTTTAAGGCACTTGAATGTAAAAGGGGTGGACCTTCTCGGCCCTTGCACCACAACCTACAGTGATCTATTGTGCTTTTCAAGGCACTTACATAGCAGTGTATTCATTTAGTGGAACCTTCAGCTGTCTTTTTTCTTGCATATGCAGTTTTGAGACCATGACCATACCACAATGGCAATGAAGATTCAAGTTTCATAAGAAAGAAATTCTTTTACAGCCAGTAATTGCTAAAGGAAATCCCACACCACAGGATCAATTCACCAGTTAGCTGTACAATGAACTCTTAAACTATCTCTTGTAACGGAAGGAAAAAGTAGCATGGGTAATTAAAAGCAACAGATAAAACCAAAATTCTCGAAATACTGACTATCCATATGACACTCAACCCTGAAAGGCACTTAGGTATTGTTAAATTCTGGAATTTTCATGGTGGTGGTTATTACGGATGTGGTCTTCCAGATTGTGGCACCGTGTGGCTCTGTAGGCAAGATGCAGACATTTCAGAGGAACTTACTACCTCCATTTTCAGGGATGAAGGGTGTAGGTTCAAAAATAGGCTTGGTTATACAGAAAAGTTAAAAGAGAGGTAGTCACAGAACCCAAAGAAAGCTAGAAAAGAAAGCAACCTGATACGAGACAATAGCAAGGAATGGGCAAAATACTGTCCTTGTAAGGGGCACAATGGTTTACTTAGAGGTGAGAAATGAAAATAGCGAGACAAAAGGGACCACTATCTTAAACATTTCATTATTACCTACTGGATAGCTACTTCTCATGAACAATAAGACAGATATCGTTACAACAGGAAAAAGCAACCTTTGTTCATTGATAATGAGTGGTGCTCTAAATGATCCCCAATTCAAACTCTGCAGAGATTCTGCAATTGTAACATAATGCAATAATCTGCATAATTGCACAATCTGCAATATACACAAACACCAAGTCAAGAAAATTTATCCTCAGTGGAGTTCATGTTCAATAGGGTTATAATTCTGCAGCAGGACTTCTGAAAGGAGAACAGGTATGTTTGTGGCCATACAGCAACACATGTCCCCTGTATTCTCAGAGCTGGAAACAAAGGCCCTCAGTCCCAGCAGTGTTTGTCTCTTTAATCCCCAAAGAAAGACATCACAAGGATTAATGGCCATGCTATGGGACCCAGATCCTCCCACTTGAATCAAAATCAGGATACTGACCAAAAGCCATGCTTGAACCAAAGGAGTCACAAGGAAGTCCAAGATAATGTATCCTGTGTGTGGTGTGATGTCATTCTGCATAAACCATTTCGTGTTTATCAGCAAACCACTTGCAACAATTTTATCCAATGAACCCTGACAGCATCAGTGTTCTGGGCAATATACAGATTTGCAGCATAACATTCTCCTTCAGAACCAAACAATCCTGCTGAAACTGCTGAGTAAGGCAAAAGATAATTTTCTGAAGAGCCTACCATGTCCCAGAATGAGCATAAAAAACTGTGTTGCAACTAGAATCTTTGCTGCAACCCCCCNCCCTCAAACAGTTTCCACTGACTGGTTGAGTCCATCTCCCAGTTTGCCATCTCTGTATGACACTATACACCCTCTTGGTAGCATCACAGTAACCACATGTCTCCTCTTACCGGAAGCTCCACGAAGTACACCATTCACCTGCCTGATTCTGATTTTCTCTATAACTGGCCACTTCGAAGTAAAAAAATTTGGGGTATCATTTCATGCATCACCCTTTAGTAAGCTGGTGCAGACACCAGTAAGTAATAGAACAGAAAGTTGCAAGAGAGCAAGATAATGGAAAGTCTACTGCAAATTGCTGCACAGCATCACTGATACACATTACTGAAACAGTTGCAATGAGCAATACTTAAATCTAAATCAATAATTAAGAATTTGATTTGTTTCATTCTGGTCCATCACACTAACAATTACAAAGACAAAACAACTCTGTGCAGTGTGACTATTTAAGTTTTACTATTTGAAAACTTAGCAACATTACATGTTTCGATCCTTACGGATCATCTTCAGAGGGGACATCGACACTTATTTGGGAACTACTATCACAATAGGTGTTCTGAGTGCTAAATTACATACATACACACACACACACACATACAATGCGGGGAATGCACAATACTCATATACGAGGTGTGTTCAGGAAATAACGGGAATTTTAAAATTTCGCGGGTTTGGAGAGTCCAATTGTCAAAATTTTTTTTTTATTATGTTGGTATACATGCCCCTGAAGTACAATAAAATTTTCAGCTGTATTCATTGCTTACTTTGTCTGTGGCAGCCGCTAAGGTTAGACGTGTTTTTATGAGCTTGGCGATTTTCGTTTGTTAAAAGAAATGGATCAAAGAATTTGTATCAAATTTTGCGTAAAAAATGAAATAAAGTGTTACAAAGTGTGTGAAATGTTAACAAAGGCCTATGGTGAGTCTGTTATGAGTAAAACAAGAGTTTACGAGTGGTATAAGCGTTTCCAAGATGGCCGTGAAGACGTTGCAGATGACGAGCGCCCCGGACGCCCCAGCACATCAACAACCGATGAAAACGTGGAAAAAGTGAAAGCAATGATTATGAATGATCGCCGAATCACAATCAGAGAAGTCGCTGATGATGTTGGCATATCGATTGGCTCATGCCATGAAATTTTTTCGAATGTTTTGGGTATGAAACGCGTGGCACCTGCTCACACTTCGTTGCTTGTTCGTGAATTCTTGGCCAAAAACAATACTGTAACGATGCCCCAGCCTCCATATTCGCCAGACATGGCTCCGTGTGACTTTTTCCTATTTCCAAAAATAAAGAGAACCTTAAAGGGCCGTCGTTTTACAAGCATAGATGACATTAAAAGCGCATCGCTGAAAGAGCTAAAGGCTATCCCAAAAATCGAGTTTGAGAAGTGTTTCGATGATTGGAAGAAGCGCTGGCGTAAGTGCATAATATCGAATGGGGACTATTTTGAAGGCGACAACATTAATGTAGACGAATGAATAAATATTTTTTCCAAAATACGGAAATTCCCGTCATTTTTTGAACACACCTCGTACACAAAATCAAATTGTTTTTTCTTCTTACAATCACAGCAGCTTTCCTGGTTAAAGCTCTTAAAACTTTGTTGTTTAAGTTAAAATTTATAAACCAAGTAGGTTTGTGTCACAGCACACCACGAACAAACACAGGACAATACTAAGAATCTCCTTCTCAAGATAGACAGGCAGCAAAAGTTCAGCCCCCTTCAAGAAAGACAATAGGAGAAGTGACATGAACCTACTTGGTTTATAAATTTTAACTTAAACAACAAAGTTTTAAAAACTTTAAAAACTTTAACCAGGAAAGCTGCTGTGATTGTGAGAAAAAAAAATTGATTTTGTGCATATTGTGTGTGTACGTAATTTAGCACTCAGAACACCTATTGTGATAGCAGTTTCCAAATAAGTGTTGATGTTCCCTCTGAAGATGATCCGTAAGGATCAAAACATGTAATGGTGCTAAGTTTTCAAATAGTAAAACTTAAATAGTCACACTGCACAGAGTTGTTTTGTCTTTGCAATAATTAAGAGGTTCTAAAACTTCTACAATTAATACACAAAATGGATATTCTGCACCCACACAATTAAGAGTTATTAAAATATATCAGATATGAGCAATTCATAAATTTCCTGTCAGTCTCATACCTCTGTGGCACTTTCCTTTTCCTACGCCGTCTACCATCAGCATCTTCTTCCATCTCTTCAGGATCTTGGGAAGCTTCTGGTGACTCTGATTCCTTCTCTACTTCTTTCTCTTCAGTGGATTCTACTTGTCTTTTTGGAGGACGTCCTCGTTTACGACGTGGCCTCTCCAAACCCTCCATCTTCAGTGCCATCTCATGGTCAGCAGGAAACAGTGTACCATCAGCCAGAACTGTTTCAATACATTGGAAAGTATTTATTACACATGCAGAAATATTAGTTTTTTTTATGAAATCAAGAAAAATATTTTGAGCTCCATATAAATGCTGCTTTTGAGTATTAAAAATTAGCATTTTCTGATAATTGCTTTCACCCAGTAGAACAGAAACTATCCAATCAATCAGAATCATAATGGCTGACAATCTCCCTCTCTTTCTGTCTCTGACCATAGTGGGGGGGGGGAACATGGCGCTGATATTGAGGCTTTTATATGCAATAATTCACGAAAAATTTTCACTGAAAAAGGATCAAAAAGTGGCAAGTATTATGAACTGCAAATACAGTAAAACAAAATTGGTCTAGGGGTGAAAATTCTCATTCTTGTTTCAGTACTCAGTACATTTCCAAATTATCTCATTCTTTTCTTCAACTGAAAAAGTCAGTCTCACACATGTTTATAGGAGGGTTCATAAATGATAGTGGGACAGCTGACATCCCTTTGCAAACACTATGCAGCACTGACAGACTTGCTCTACTCAGAAATGCATCCTTCTAACCATGATAAAGATAGTATTATACACCTGACTAATGCTAAAGAATTATTATAAACATTTTCAACACAGCATGAATTATTTCTGAACTTATTCTATGAAAATAAAAGTCCCATCACTCTCATCTCTGGTACTTACCCTCTAAGTTCCTCCTCTGTCTTGTCCTATTGAGAATACAAAAATTCAGTTGAACTGAAAATAGCAGCTCATATCATTAATAACCATGAGTTATGCAGAGACCACAGATAATACAACTACCTCCACCTGACTGTCACCCATTATGTTATGTTAACTACTACTGTGATCCCTTCATGTTATGTGAACTACTAAGTGCATCAACAGTAAAGATCATACTCTGTATCACAATCCGGTTTTCTGCATCAGCTTCTGCTTCTGAGGTTGGAACATCCTGAGCAGAAGAAATTAAGAGAGACTCAACACCCTCTTTTTCAGCCCGAAGGCGCTCTCTTTCTGCCTTTCTCTGCTGTTCTATCTACAAAAAAAGACCTTATTACTTACTTTCACTAAATAAAGAAAAAACATGCCTAAGGAAATTTTTTAAATTTAGATAGCTAAGACTGCACCCTCCACCAACTGTGATCAAACCAAGTAGGATAAAATGGGACATGTAGCACACATGGGAGATGAGAAATACATTCTTGAGGGGAAGAGACCACTTGGCAGAGAGGCCAATATTAAAAGAGGCATTACATATACTGTCACAAGTTAGTGACTAGACATGTGATTTGGATTGGTAACTGGATTTACTGAACACCTGTAACTACGATATAAGCAGAAGCTTCACTGAGTTAGATACTCCAAAGATCACAGCACACATAAAGTCTTCTGTCTCCTTTAGTTATTGCCTGGTAACAGCTCTTAAATGTAGAAATGTTTCAGTTTCTATGCTCACATTGTTGCTGGATGGCTACTGTCTCATGACTTAACACATAACCTCCTAGCCATGACTAACAATTGGTTTTGGTCTGTTACATGGCCTTGGCATGGACCACACAGAAAACATCGCATTGTCCGACAATGGCACAACAGTTCCTCTATTGTTGCATATGCATTCCTTGCTGCAGACAGATTTACCATGCCACTATATAACAATGGCCGCCTCTTCTGGCTCCACTATTCCAGCCTTCAGCCTTCATGTCACAATACAATGACCTGATGCTGGCACATTTTTTTAATTTCATTCATTTTTACCTTCATCACAAACAAAATCTGTGGGGAACTGCATGCCACTTCTGTTCACCCAACACTTACAGTTCTTAGCTGAATTCATATTCATGGTATTATGAAGATTATTTGTAACTGTCCACTAAAAAAGGTAAAGTTATCCCTGTAACAGACTGTGTAGGTCCATAGGGTTGTGAGATGTTGAGGTTACCATATTATCCAGACAATCAGCTCACAGATGGCGGCAAGGTTGTCAGCCTTACGCACCCGCCACCCTTTACCTGCCAGGAAAATTTCTGATACTCATTTCTGTTAGAGGCTGAGTAGACCCCAGGGCCATAGTGCAGGTGGAAGGATTAGGCCATCTGAAAAAGTCCACTTCATCTGGACTTGAACCTGCGACCTTCCGGCCTGTACCACAGTGCCTCAACCAACTACGCTTTCTGCGTAACTGTCCATTACAAGAAATAATCTATCCTTACTGTCCTGACCTTCCTAACTTTCCACTCTATTCAAGCAACACCTCTCCAGCCACACTTAAAACATGCATATATTGTCAATTTCCCTGTTTGTTATAGTAAATAAGGAATTATTCACATTCAACTCACAAATGCATAATTGTAGTATCAGATTTATCTGTGATCTGCATTATCTGCAAACTAGTCTAACACAATTCCAAAAAGGAATATGTTACAAGGGGGTAAAGATCTTTTTAATCATTTGCCACCACAAATCAAATCTATGTCTAATGACTTGAAAAAATTTAAAGTAAGTTGACAACATTTTTATTGCAAAACTCTTTTTACACATGTGATGAATTCTTTAGTAACAAATTTGCCTAGAAATAAGGATAATAACATAAACAATTTTAATATTGCATAATTTTACGTATAGTGATGTAAGACTGTTTTTTTTATTATAAACTGTACATATATATTCATATTTGTATTGTAGTATATTAGCTATGTGACTGGTTCTATATCTATGTATATGGATTTATGGAATATACAATAAATGAATGAATGAATGAATGAATGAATGAATGGTCTCAAGACACTGACACCTCCCACACAAAAAGTAACCAGAAATTCAAACTGAACCACCAATGCACCTATTTAAAAAACAAATTTACAGAATAACTTAACGTAGTACTGCATACAAACTTCCACTTATCTCCCACACTCCACTGTTATAATGGTTAAACTACTGCTCACCTAAGATCAAAATCAAATGCCAATTTCCATATGACACAGACTTTTACACAAACTAACATACACAAAATGAAAGAAACATGATGCAACACAAATTTGTCTTATCCACATATGAATATCATACATTTTAGAAACTCAGTCTCTTCAAGTCATTATTCAGAAATTGACTCCTCTGATACAAAATCCTTGATTCTAAGTCACCTATTTCCACATACACCTACAACTAGAATAACTAATGCATACACTTCTAGTTACTAGTTCAGAAATGTAACTGAACTCATGCAAAATTCAATCATGATGTTTCATTAGTGTAACTCACACAGACAAAAGTGTATCAAGAGAATGATATCCACCTATATTTCAGTTTTTATATCATGAACCATGCTCACTTCCTTACGCTCATGAAGTGCTATGATAATCCACTTCCATTCTTCTCACAAAACAAGAAACACACACACACACACACTCTTTACCAACTATGCCTATATTCTGAAGGTGTGAAAAATATTCACCTTCTCCACATCACACAATTTATACATAAAAATATCTATCATTATTAGGGCCCGGATTTCTATGACATGTCATATTTTTTTCCTACGGTTTATTCCTATTTTTAAATGTAATTATGCATGTTTCCAGTCATTCTTATTGAAATTGTGTCGTTTTTATTGTGCATATAAATGCATATTTTAGAGTTTTATTGGTTTTACAGCATACTTTGGCATAATTTTGAAATAAGGTCATATTTTTGTCATTTTAGAAACAATTCTTTGATATAATGTAAAATTTCGGCTCCATAATGTTTAGTATTACAAAATAAATTTCAGGCTGGACTGTTGCTTCAATGTGGAATAGAGTTCAAGTACATGAAGTTCGTATTAAAAACCATATTTTTGACTGGACTGTACTTGCAGTTACAAAGGCGAAAATTTGTGAAATGCAGCATTTATGACCTGGCAAGCCGGCCTTTCCCAGTCGAGGCAGGAGGGAGGCAAGTGTAACGGGTATTCTCCTATTGTACTCCGTCTTACTATAAGGTATATACATCCCATTCTTTCTTGGAGGGCTTAGAAGTATTCTATTTATATATGTGGAGGGCGTTATAAGACTTCAGTTTGACTTTACAATGCCTAAAGTGAGTACATGTAGATAAAGGAGCGCAAAGTTGTGTAGTTTTGTACAGGAGTTTGGTGAAAAAGTGTTTAGTACCGATGGCAAGATATGTCATTGTAAGTTGTGGGGCGTGAAAGTTATGGCAGAAAAGCGATTTACTGTGCAGCAGCATTGTAAAACTTTTAAACATGGTAAATGTTTAAGCAGATTATCTACAAAGGATAGCAGACAAAGTTTGTTTTTAAAAACAGTTCCACTAATTATTCTTCTTCTTCTTCTCCTTCACCTTCTTCAACGAACAATGGGTCGGAATTTTCGAAGGATTTGTGTCAGTGGATGGTATCTTCGAATATTCCATTAGAGAAATTGCATAATCAGCACTTCAGACAATTTTTGGAGACATACACTAGTCATCCTATCCCAAGTGAATCGACGTTAAGAAAGAATTATCTCTCTACATGTTATGAAGATATGTTAAATAAGATTCGAACATCTGTTGCTGACAACAAGATATGGGTTTCCTTGGACGAGACTTCTGACGTAGATGGGCGGTATATTGCGAATGTTATAGTTGGGACCCTGAAACAAGATCAACCTGGAGAGAGATTTCTTCTTGACTGTGAAGTTCTCGAAAGAGAAAATCATTCAACTATAGCTGTCCTATTTGATAATTCCATGACGTTGTTGTGGCCAAATGGAATACAGCGAAATAATGTCCTTCTCCTAGTAACAGATGCCGCTCCATACATGAAGAAGGCTGCCAAAGGACTTCGAATCCTCTACCCGAAAATGGTCCATATTACTTGCCTCGCTCATGCATTGCACAGAGTGGCTGAAGAAGCTCGAGGACATTTTCCTGATGTAGATAGGCTAGATTCAAGTGGAAAGAAAATATTCATCAAGGCTCCTCTTCGAAGGCAGAAATTTAAACAAGAAGCTCCTCTACTGCCACTTCCTCCACAGCCTGTCGTCACACGGTGGGGTACATGGTTGGATGCTGTGGCATATTATTGTGAAAATTACACAGCCATTGAGAAAATGTTTAATGGCTTTGACAGCAGTGAGTCAACATCAATTAAAGCTGTCAAGGACTTATTCTCTACCACTCTAGCACAAAATCTGGCATACATAAAGTCAAACTTCTGTTCAATTTCAGGTGCAATAACTCGCCTGGAATTTGTAGGGACTGAACTCTGTGACGCGTTGGACACTGTAAAGAGCATTGAGAATGAACTAAACCGAACTCGTGGTGAAATAAGTGACAGGATTAAAACCAAAATAGAAAGTGTTCTTCATCGGAATGCTGGTTATTCAACATTATGCAAGATTGCAGATATACTTTCCGGTAAACTAGCAACATTCGAAGATGATACAGAACTGTCACCAAACGACTTGACATTCTTCAAATATGCTCCTGTCACATCATGTGATGTGGAACGAAGTTTTTCCAAATACAAAACTATCCTTAGTGATAATCGGCGATCTTTCAAATTTGAAAATTTGAAAATGCATGTAGTTATAAATTGCAATTGTAACAGTGAAAATTGAGACGTGAATAACTCAGTGAAAACTGAGACATGAATAGCTTGTGTTCTTTTAAATGGTGTTTTTAGATAACAGAGTTAAGTTAGTGTTCATACCATGTGCACCAGTGTTTTTCTAAAATATGAACGCAAATATCAGTATTAAAAAGAAAACAATGAATGGTTTAATCCAGTACGAAATGTCGAAATTCCATCAGTTTTCTTTCCTTCATAGACATAATAGGGCTAATTTGGTAAGTAGGACCTACTATCATATATTCATCATCTTTATTCTTAAACTCTAGTAAAAGTTGTGATTAAAATTGTGAAATTTTATGTCCCATTTAATATTTAAGGTCATATTTTACACTTTTTTAGGTCATATTTGACATAATTTTGGGTCATAAGTGCATGCATATATTTATAGTTTTTAGGTCATAAAAATCCGGGCCCTAATCATTATCATACTTCCTCTGTTAATATAAAAAGCACAAGAGTGTATCCATTTTGTCATTATAATAGATTTTCCAACCTCTAATCATTAAATAACATTGATCATCAAGTCACTAATTTATATTCCACTCAAGCTGCAACTGGAGAAACAGACTGAAAAAGGTTATGTATGCAAATCAAGGCAGGATGTGTATATAATGGATCTATCACTTATATAAAGTTACAAAATATGTTGATTTGTTACTCCAACCCACATTAAAGAATTTATTAGTATTTTTATGTCATGATTTGTCTTGTACTATGGTGATGATACACAAATACATATTTAATTTAAAACTGAGATTCATCCTAGCCTATTTCAAAGTACTATAGTACTACTGAGTGATCGGCTTTGACAAAATGAGAAAAACCAAATAACATCAGTTCAGATGATCTCCAACTGAGACACAAGCTGAGGATCTATGAATACAAGTTGAATACACTGTGTGTTACGTTTTCCTTAGTAATCTGTTTTCATAATATAGCCTTTTACCCTTGTATCACATACCTGATTTTTCCACATCTCTCTAATTTTCTTCTGACCCTCCACCAATAGGTCAAAAAACTGAACAGTTGCTTGCAACTGTATGTTGCAACCAGGGCATATAGTTCGAGGAAGCTTACCATCATCTTGGATCTAAAACATATATATGATATCGAAGCACATACACTAACATAAGCATAGGTTGTTTCATGACATTATGGTTATCATATTAACCCTGCATGATCAAAGCACTAACATTATCAGTCTTAATCAACAGTGGAAATATCTTGGTAATACTGTAACGACATAGTTATACACCTTTTGCTCAACGATATTTTGTTATAATTATGCTAATTACAAACAGCTTTAGTTTTATGAAGTTAAAACAAACACATCTTCTTGTACTTTATTTGAATATATATTTTTCCCATACCTATATATTTGGTGACAGGTTATGTTTACTTTCACTTGCATTTTCTGTATCGTTTTGCTTTAAATTTTCTTATTAACTTGAAACTTATACATAGAGAACTTCAAAACATACTAACAAAAAACCAGACATATTTTGTTCAAACTCATGTGATTTACTGTTCATCATACAATCTGTGGTCGCAACAGGTTGAATACTCATTCTGTCCGCCGGTGTATACAATATCAGACTTGTAGTTTTAAGTTAAACCTTCCATCCAAAAATATTAACAAGCTATTAGCCTTACCCACTAACTTATCAAGAACGACCTTCAAGTTGATAACCTAATTGAAATATCAAATCACAATTGTTAAGAGCGAATGGTCTGTGAGTCTTATGGCAGTATTTGCAAGCATGTCCTCATACAATACGCCTCAATATTATCCATTTGACTAAATTTGGGACACATAACTGAGTCATGTAGTGAACGAACACGCAATTCGTGCAACTATAATCAGTGCACCCTCCATTTTGATAGAAAGTAGGAAGTCAAGTTGCCTTCTCATACGAATATTCAAACAGCATATTTACCTTAAACGGGAGGTAGCGATTCACTAGGCCACTTAAATCAGTCTCCGAATCATCAACCGAATACAATAAAACTCCACTAGGGTTTTCTTCTGCACACAATCTGCAATAAGTTGAGTTATAAAGATGTACTTCCATAATGGCGGTAAAAGTAGACAAGATTATCCCACTGAAGTATCTCCCAATTCCCAATAGAAATGTATTTTACTCCTCAATATGGCCACCAGGAAAACTTTTATAACAGTAAATCTTATTGGTTTGTGCGCGAAATTTGAATACGTCATCATGCACGACTTTGGAAAGGAAGTATTATAAGACATACAAAAGCATATAGGGTATGACGTCTACACAACAATATTCTGTATCCAAAAGCAAAGCAGACACTGCTAAATCAAAATTTGCTTTTATTATCCTTTTACAGACGCAACAAATTTCGGCCCTTATACCGGGTCATCATCAGGCATACAACTCCAGTATGAGCTGATAATTGCAATACTGGAGCATTGTACGCCTGATGTTGACTGGTGTAAGGGCGGCAACATGTTGCGTCTGTAAAAGCACAATAAAAGCAATTATTGATACAGTAGTGTCTTCTTTGTTTTTGGATACAGAATATTGTTGTGTAGACTTTATGTACTTCTGTATATCTTACTTATGACCAGGGCCCGGATTTTGATGAGCTGAAAATATTTAAAAAATAACGGAAAAAATCCAGAAAAATTACCTAAAATATGACCCAAAAGTGTAATATGCAGGGCCCGGATTTTGATGACCTGAAAATATTAAAAAAAAATGACCCGTAAAATGACCGAAAAATCCAGAAAAATGACCTAAAGGAGAAAAGAAAGAACGCTTCGCTTCCATGTTATTCACATTTCAGAAAACATATGAAGAAAAATTTCCTAAATGGCCAAAAATTACAAGAAATACCCTTAAAAGTCAAAAAATTTACCAAAAAAATTCCCCCCAAATGAAAAAATGTCAAAAAAAATTACCTATAAAATTTACATTTCTGCAACCAGCAGCTCATATCCGAGATTTATATACTTAAGAGCACTGCATAGGATAGAAGGAAAAGAAAGATGACATGTCATCAAAATCCGGGCCCTGCTTATGACACACAACAGGATGAACAAAATTAAGTTGTATTTATAAGGAAGAATAGCATCTGACATGCCAATGAGTTCGTTCTCATGAAGTTTGAATCGGCTGATGCATTTTCGCGAAACTCGGCGTGGTGGTACATGTAAAAGTAAAAAAAGTAAAGCTATCCCTGTACCAGGCCGTGAAGGTCCATAGGGTTGTGAGACGTTGAGGGTCCCACATTATCTAGACAATCGGCTCAGAGACGGCGATAAGGTTGTCAGCCTTACGCGCCGGCCGCGCTTTACTCCCCCCGGGAAATTTATTTAAAAGACCGTGTAGTACATTGAAAATCAACAGATGTGTCCGAGGAATATGTTGCCTTCTGCTGCCTACTTTATGCTCTTCATAGCCAACGCTGTTACTCATTTCTGTTAGAGGCTGAGTCAACCTCAGGGCCACAGTGCAGCTGGAAGGATTAGGCCAATTGAGAAAATCCAATGACCTCATCGGGACTTGAACCTGCGACCTTCCGGCTTGTAGCATTGCACTACGCTACCGCGTGCCCCCACGGTGGTACATGACCTTAACAAAACTGTAAGCTGCCACAAAAAGAAGCTAGGCCTATGTACTGCTAATGATTGTGGGTTCTATCAGCGTTGGCTATGAAGAGTTACATAGTATGCGGAGTAACGGCATGTAGTCCACTGAAAATCAACTGACGTTTCGGAGCAATGTGTCACCCCATTATTCAGGGTGGAAGAATAAGCCAAGCAAGAAACCAGCATGAAGTAGGCAGCAGAAGGCAACATATTCCTCCATCACATCCGTTGATTTTCAATGTACTACACGGTCTTTTTTTTTTCTGTGGTTCTACAGCCCCAATTTGGGCCTAGGCCTACCTCCATGAAACTCTCCGTTTCACTTCGGTTTACTAGATCTTACACATTCGGTAGGACTACTTGGGCGAGTGATCAGCTCGTCGCAAGGCCTCTACCTGTAGACAAACACAGAAAAACGCACACAAACATCCATGCCCTGAGTGGGATTCGAACCCACGATCTCGGCTTCAGAGCGAGCGAAGACAGTACATGCCTTAGACCGCTCGGCTACCGTGACCGGCTACACGGTCTTATATCCCAGAAGATAGAACTCACCACATTATTAAATTTCCCCAATATCAAACATCTCACTGAAATGCCCTTACGAACTTCTGACGTGGAAGTTACTTTAAAACCACCTAATACGGTGTTTTCTTAAATATTGTGCAACATAAATCTTTCACAAATATTGAAATGGTTTAGATAATTTCTCTTTTGTAGAAAAGTCATTGAACTTAAATAGTGATTATGATTAACTTATTATATAATAAAAAAACGGATACTTTTACATTTCTTGTAACAGCTGTTGCTATTTTGATTCATCCCGGCAGCTTGATATTGTATTTTTGGTTCTCACCGCTGTCAGAAAGTTGTGCATTATACAAAGGAAGTAAACAAAGCAACCATGTACTTTTTTTTTCCTTGGCACTACAACCCCAGTGGGCCTAGGCATACCTCCATGAACTTCTCCCTTCATTCGGTTTTTCTAGATCTTACACAGTCGGTAGGACTCCTTGGGCGGGTGAACAGCTCGTCGCAAGGCCTATACCTGTACACAAACACAGAAAAACGCACACACACAAATTAAACATCCATGTCCTGAGTAGGATTCGAACCCACGATCTCGGTTTCCAAGAGAGCGAAGACAGTATATGCCTTAGACCGCTCGGCTACCGTAACCGGTCCGCAACCATGTACTAGCCTTCTGTATTTACTTTGTAATGAGATTAGTCTTCTGGAATGCAACTACCTGTACCTTGGTAGGTCAACAACGACCAGGAGAAACCTGCTGTCGGAATCTTCGGGTTTCCTTCCTTAGAAACTAAACTATGTCGTAAATATAATTCTCCATTCCAAGAACTTCTTTGTATGATAATGTAAGAAGTGTTTTGCATGCAGTAGATGTCGGTATGCGATTTAAGTTTCCATCAGAACTTAAATCTAAGATGATTGGCGGCCCTGAAGATTAACAGATTAAGAGCGCCGTAAGTGTTTTGATTGTAAGAGCTGGCATTCAATTTCGGGCATTTCAGCAGTCGGCAATGTGAATTTGTGTTCATAGACACTGCATCCTTCCGGTCACACCTAGAAATTAAACTCATATTGTAACACGTGCCAAGCTGACTGGAGTTGCCTTCGCCTACGAGCGCACAAAATGCATCCGTTGTAACGAACGCATAAATAACAAATGTGAACGTTACAACATTTTTAGGTTTGTTTATTCATCATAAATTGTCATGGCAAACCAATATTGACCAAGTGATACCCAAACTAAATAAGGCATTCTATGTAATTAGAGTATTAAAACCTCTTTTATCCTTGGAGTGCCTAAAAACTGTTATTTCTCCCTAGTTCATTCAATAATATTTTACGGTATAATATTCTATGGGAGTTCGGCCCATGCAAAAATCATAATTCAAATACAGAAAATAATAATAAGAATTATCAATTCTTGTAATGTGGGCTCGTGCAGTAATTTATTTAAGGAGTTACATATACTGCCACTTCAGTCGCAATATATATTTTCCTTACTTATGTCGGTTGTCAAGGATAGAGATTGCTATATAACAGACTCTGATGCCCACACCCGTAATACCAGATTTAATTATGATTCGCATCTTCCGGTGGTAAACTTAACTATATTTCTGAAAGGTGAATGGTATTCTGGTATCAAACTTTATAACCACCACCCTCCAGAGCTTAAACAATTATCTTATGACATCCCTGGATTTAAAGTGGCGTTTAAGAAGTTTCTTATCACCAGTTCCTTTTACACTGCTGAAGAGTACTACTGCTGGAATAAAGATTGATCCCTCATGTATACGTGTATTTAAATAAACACCGTGGCCTATTGCTAGGATGCAACGGACTATGGAATAAAATACACAGGAAAAAGGTACTATTACTGTTGTGATATAGGTGTGTGGAACCTAGCTTAAGGAGCGCCTCTCATAACGAGTAATTCCTATAACGAGCAAAACAAATGGTAAAAAAATTACTCGCTTAACGAGCGACGTTTCACATAACGAGTGACGAGAGGGAAAGTCTCGGATTGTGCGCTTGCTACATCAGTCTGTGTTTAGCACTCGTTCCTCTCGCGTCTTAGTGTCGCTTGTGATCACACATTTTTCCAAACTTGTGTTCAGATATATTATTTGTGATTTTTTTTGTGCAAAGTTTAATGACCCTTGCAAAAATGTCCCCTAAGAAAAAGCCGCAAAAGACAGCCATAAGAGTATAAAAATAACCGTAGAAATGAAACGTAAAATCATTGAAAACAGAGAACGAGGTGTGAGCGTGGCTGATCTAGCGCACACATACAATCGGTCTACATCAACGATTTGCACTATCCTCAAGAAGGAGGATGAGGTGGTAACAGCAAAGCAACAATCTTCTGGCGCAATAAGAGAAATGCTGAAAGCATGGGAAACTGTTGCATTGACATTGAGAAGCATCACCCTAATAAGGCAGTGGCTATGCATGCTACAAATTTATTTAATGATAATGCTGTGTCGCATTTTCACCGAATTTGGAAGCGTCGGCAAAAACAAATGTCTCTAGACAGCTTTCTGGTAAAAAAGAATTAGATATGTATCATAAATAATAAACTAATTATTTCGATTTTTTTTCTGCAAATCGAATTCGCATTCCAGGTTAGTTCATTCCGCATAAAAGAAAAGATGAAGATGATTCACGCTGCTTAACAATGTGTATATAATTTTCTTTGAATAAACGTTATACATAAAATTTGTTGAGTACTTTTTTCGGCATGGAACGCCTTATCGTATTATCGTATTTTACATTAATTTATATGGGAAAAATTGTTTTGCTTAACGAATGTTTCTCATTACGAGTAAGATTCTGGAACGAATTATGCTCGTTAAGCGAGGCTCCACTGTATTATATATTAAGAAATTCAGATTTTGTAGCCAGAAGAAAGGGTAGCATTCGCCTCTCTTGTTTATTTCTACAACGGACGCATTTTGTGCACTCGTATAGACTCTTTCTTACATCCACCCCGAAACCACAGAAACCACAAACATAGCCCACGAATAACAGGGCGACCAATAGAACCAGTGTTAGCGTCGCAAGAGTTGATCCTCTGCGAACTTTGCGATCCTGTGATCGGTCTGCATAGATCGATTTAAATAGGAGTCGATCGACCTATCGATATCCGCGAAAGTTGGATAACTATGCTGGCAATTTTTATGAAATTTAAAAACTTATTCATGTAATTTGTGATAATTGTAATTCTTTGTGATAAAATCAAGATGTGTACCCTTTAGATGAGCCCGAGAGTGTTTAATAAAAGAGAAGGAGAATTATAATGTGACAAACGAGTATTCGAATAACATGAGTGGTAAATCTGATAAGCTTCAATCACATAAAAAGAAAACTGAGAAGAAAAGTGGAGAAAGTAGGAAATATGCACAAATATCGTATGATTCCATATCATGTGTAGCAGAAACAAATGGTTTAATAGCGCTCAGTGAAGAAATCAGAAAACAGCTTGCTGAAGACGTATCATATAGACTTCGAGAGGTTATCCATGTAAGTTGTGGAAGATTCTTTTCTGGTAAACTGCAGAAACCAGTCAACTTTTGTAACTAGATCATGGCTTAAACGTTATCCAACATGCCATAAACTGTTATCTCGTCAGTATACACCAGAAGGACGTTACATGTTAGTGAACTAGACTGTCACTTCCACACCAACCTAATTGAGGAATTCATTGTAGTTAAAGTGGAGAGTTAGCGAATGTGCAGTCCAGGATTCATACCATAAATCAGTTCCATATACAATGAAAGATTACACAAACCTTCATAATCTTTTTTTGTATGTGCCAGACTGATGAGACTTGGTGACACAATACTCTACCTAACTATTTAGAAGTGTGAGAGAGAGCTCTCATTTTCTTATCTTTGGAAACTTGTTAATTAAGCGCAAGCTTCCTGTTTCTGTACATTACAGTAATCTTTGTAACCTTTTCAGAACTGTAGTGTACATTTACGACAAAGTAGACGAAGAATACTGTCGACTGCTGATGTAAATGCAGTTTTCCAGACTTCAGATGTACCTTCAATTTATGGGCATTTGAATCAAGAACCATTCAATTTACTCTATGTTAAAGAAGCTGGTGTTTTTGTGCCAGAGCCTAATGATGTTGATCTGGCAGCTCTTGCTTTGAGCAGTGTCATTCTCACTCAGAAGGGGCTGCCATTTGTGAAAGGTGAGAAGTGAAACAGAAGAAGTTGGAAGAGTGTTGTAATATAGTACTAGTTCAGTCATGGTATTGGTGTCTTGCTTTATATTTATTTTATGGTCTATTTAATGATGTTAGTAGCTCGAACTGCTTAGCACTGAATGAGAGAATTAGTGAATAATGAATGAGAAATGATATGAAAGGACGTGACCACAGGCTAATCTGAGGTACTATGCTGGAATTCCCCTTGAGGGCTGAAGGAAAATCATGAAAGTCCCCAATCAGGAGAATCAGTATCTAGGGCAGTATTTGAGCCTGAGACCTCATGAATATGAAGCAAGAATGCTACCCATTTCATCATGATGTTCATTTAGAATTTAAGGATTTGAAAGGTCCCTTCACAGTGAGAAGAATATCTGGTAGTCAATCTCATGCTGTGTTAGTCTGCTTTCTGTTTGGTACTTCTTTGGATGGGAAGGGAAATTCAGGTATTACACCTAAGATCAGATAATGCCTGAACTTGTAGAGCCATATTTCTGTTTATGTTCAAAACATTAATGCAGATGATTCACAGCATTGTCTTGTAGAAACGTTTGAGCACAAAAATGTGAATTTAGGGATATTCTGCAAGTAGAAGAGGGTAAATTCAAGGTTATTCTGCAAATAGAGGAGGCTCATTGCTACATTAACATGCTAAGTTACTATGATTTCATTTAATCTTTTTTTAATTGCAGTTTTAGCAAGATCCAAGAAAATCATTTAGAGACATGGAACTGGAATTATCATCTTACCCATTGTTTTGTATGGATGTGAACCGTTCTCTTTATTGCTAGTGGGGTGGGACTAAGTCCCTTGTATTGTGGCCACTTCTGCCCTATTGTACCAGCCCCAAATGATAGGTGAAGGTGATTGTGTGGCAATTGGTGGAATGAAGATTGGCAAGGGAAACCGAAGTACTTGGAGAAAACCTGCCTCAGCACCACTTTGTCCACCACAAATCCCACTTGAACAGACCCGGGATCGAACCTGGGCCGCAGCTATGAGAAGCCAGCGACTAACTGCTTGAGCTATGGCGCGGCCATTATGCGAATCTTGGTATCTTGTCCTAAGAGTAGAACACAGATTGAGTATGACTGAGAGCAGGGAATTGAAGAAATATTTGGACCTAAGAGGAAGGAAGTAACAGGGGGATGAAAAATTTACATAATAAGAAATATTGTAATTCAAACTCTTCCACAGTGATCAGAACAAGGAGGATGAGATGTGATGCATGTGGGGAAATGAGAGATGTTTACAGCATTTTAGTCAGAAAACCTGTCGGCAGCCTCAGGCGATATGAGAGAAAAATATTAAAATGATTCTGAAAAAGTAGGGCATGGACTGGATTCACCTGGCTAAGTATAGAGTTTTGTAGCAGGGTCTTATGACCATCTGATTTTCATAAAAGATACAAAACATCCTCGGCCATATGCATGACTGTAAGTTTTTCAAGGACTCTTCTCCATGGAGTTATACAAATATAATGGCCGTAATTGTTCTTAATAGTTTTAATTTTGTCTATACAACAAGAAATTTGTTTGTAATAATGCCTAATACTTTATGTTTCATGAAATGTGCACTGGGAAGGAAGTCAGTAAAAATGTGATGTTACATCGCGTGCATTCCTGTGAAAGTACCAGCGTTTTTTTTAATTCCCAAAATGTGTCACAGGTCTATTATACCAAGTGTTTAATTGTTGGGTATCATTTTGTTGGTAGGCAAATGGCTTCCTCCAGATGATACCACAGTTGTGAGTGGGAATCCTCAGTCAGCAAAGGCAGATGGTACAAAACCAGCAGTGTCAAGCTCTGAGAGAACCAATAACAATCCTCAGATACCTTCCCATTTGCTCTCTTACTATAGTCATATTTCAAAAATTATTCTGGGTAACTCAGAAAGCCTTGTTAAGGTATGTATGATTATTTGTCCACTTTTAGTAGTTTTGACTTCTGGAATTTATGCCTGTGTATTCATAATTTTCAATTCAGTATCCACAACTATCTCTGTAGCCCTTACAGGAAAGTGGATATTAAACCAGTTAAACACACTGAAGTTTATGATTTATTCTAACCATCTTACAGTGCATACATTTATTCACCTTACTCTTCTCTCTTGCACTACATGTTTCAGCACAAAAGTGCCATCTTCAGGTGCTTTTCGATGTACGTCAAACTACTTCATTGCATGCCCTGTTGTCTTTATACTAAAATATATATTTGTCATATATNAGTATACTACTCATCTACTGAGGGGACTGTGAGATTCTTCTGCTGTAGCAAAGTATTTCTGAATGCATTCCATCAGTTTCTTCATACCTGATCCTACAGAATTACCACAGAAGCACGTACTTTACTTGGCAAAGCCATTTGTAACGGCAGAAAGGAGAGAGGATGCAGGCCCAGACAGGGCTCTTATTATATCAGAAAACGTGAAAGGTAAAGTTGTCCCTGTGCTTATTTAATTAACCACATGCCATGAAGATGTATGGGGGAGTGGAGGTATCATTCCACCATTCTTCACTTCTGCACTATATGGAGGTATGTGGTCAGCCTCACACCCAGCATTAAGTGGAAGTGAGTGAAGTTTTACGCCTGGTCCCACTGACTAACATGCTGGATGGGCTGCAGAACTGGGTTCAACATGGTGACAGAGAATAAACCCCTATTTGTCCAGCCCTTGACTGAGCTACCCTGATACATATTCAGAGTTGCATATTTTAAAGTAAAATATAAATAGGAAGCAGAAGGACCAGTGTCATTATCATAGTCTGACTTCATGTATTGTGTGCTTGAATGTGATGATGTGACTGTCTCAAGAACTTGTAAAAAATGCTTGGAATTTGTTGGTGCAAAATTTTCCACTTTATATTTTTAAGGTGCTAGCTTAGCATTCAGTTAGGATTGTCAAAATTTATTTTAAGGTTCATTTTGATATCCTGCTATATTTCTATTATTTCTTCCTGAATTTCTATGCTTTGCTTATTACAAAATAAGATTCTAGATTCTTAGTTCTGAATATTAAGATACAGTCTTCTGGGCAATAACGTTATGAAATTGGTACACAGGTCTTGGAGTTTTGGTAGAACCCGCTGTTTCCATCTCCCACCCTGTAGATGGAGGCAGCAGGTTTCTCCAAAACATTGTTACCTATCTATTAAACTACATGGCATCACATTCCAGAAGACTGTAATCATATTGCAAAGTAAATACTGTAAGTTAAAACAGATGGTTTGTTTACTTCTTTTTGTATAGTGTACAGTTATTTAATTTGCAGTCTCTGAAAATGCTACAGTGTGTGTATTCATAATGCTGATATTTTTACCTTGACCCTCAGGTGGTGCTGAAAGATTTGGAAACCAACACTAAAATTAGTCCAATTGCTCCATACTTGCTCAACCTATTAGCACTTGGCCTACAGAAGCTACCCAGGGGACGAACCTACGCACACTTCAGGCATAGGTTTCTATGCATTGCTGAAGCTCTGACATGTAACAGCTTCATTGAACCTAGTGCTACTATTTCAGTAAGAAGTTTTTTGTTATATACATTGATTATCTGTTTTTGCACATTTGAAACACAAATATTGTAAGCATACTCTTAGCAGAAAGGTCTATCTTTTGATAACCTTCACATAAAAATATACAGTAGCTGTAGAACTTAAATAAGACTCTGGTAGTAGAATCTGAAGGCAGTTTTTCACTGCAGTGGCCCAGATTCGAAGGTCAGGTGATGTGGGGTTAGTGGTGATGGAAGTAGCACTGGGGTAGGTTCTCTCTGATTTCCCCAACCAATTTTCATTCCACCATCTGCTCCATAATCATTGATAATCCCCTCATCAACATCATATGTCTCTATACTGATGGCATCATTAAATAACCAAATAAAGAAATGAAAAATTCAGCACCACTGATACCAATGCCTGCCATTCGATGTGCTGCCGAGTAAGTTCCATCCATCTCTGGTTATCACAACTAATCTCCCTTGGATCCAATGTCAGCTTATTCTGTCAATCTTTCTCAGTCTTTAAAGCCTGTTTTCCAAAATTTCCATATCAAAATACTGTATACTTTCATGTCTACCCCTTCCAAACCACATGCCTAGCTTACCATAGCCCCCCAAAGTTCACTATCCTAAACAGTACTAGTGATCTGCAGAAATTATAAAATTACTTGTTATGTAATAATCTAAATTGATCCCTTCTATCTATCTATGGCTCTGCAGTTCCTCTGTTGGACCTTGGCCACTTTTTTCAGTTTCTTAATCCTATACACAGTTGATAGGACCCTTGGACAGGGGATCAGTCTGTCACAAGGCCATTACCTAGACAGAACAACACAGACAGAATAAATGCATACAGAGATCCATGCTTTGAGTGGGATTCAAAGACAGTTCATGCTTCAGACTGCTTGGCCACTGTTGTTTGCAAATTGCTCACTTTGTCCAAATGCCTTCCTAAGCACTTTGTTTCAGTATTCAAACACTTGTAATGTATGAAGAATGGCTTTAAGGTTGTAAAAACTGGTTATATTGATAGGAACAGTTAGCAGCAGCAGCAACTGTAAAGTAGTAGTGTAATAACACTTTTGTAAGAAATTGTTACAGCGAAAGGCAAGATGTAATTTTCAGTGTTAGTGCACTTAAAGCTACTTGGACTGAAGAGAGATGAAATGACAGGAGGTTGGAGAAAACTGCATAATGAGGAGCTTCATGACTCATACTCTTCTCCAAGTATAATTAGAATGATCAAGTCAAGGAGGATGAGGTGGGCAGGGCATGGAGCATGAATGGGGAGACGAGAAATGCATATAGGATATTGATGGGAAAGCCAGAAAGAAGGAGACCACTGGGAAGGCCAAGGCATAGGTGGGTGGACAATATTAAAATGGATCTTAAAGAGATAGGATGGGATGTTATTGATTGGATTGATTTGGCTCAGGATAGGGAGCAGTCGAGGGCTCTTGTGAACATGCTAATGAACGTTCAGGTTACATAAAATGCTGGGAAATTCTTGAGTAGCTGCAGAATTGGCAGCTCCTCCAGAAGGGCTCAGCTCCATGAGTAAGTAAGTAAGTGCACTGAAAGCCATATAACATATGAACAAATCTATGTAAATAAAAATGTAAATGTTGGTTTGTTAGCCCTCGAAGATCTCCAAAAGTTCTTCACCGATTGCTTTGAAATTTTGACACAACGTTGCATTCGAACGCGCGTTTTTATATACCCATTATATAGATGTCACACCTGTGACAGGTAAAAACATGCGTCTTTTGAAAACCGGAATTGGAATTTGGAATTCAGAAGAGTGACCCCTATGGAAACGCTAGAACAGACCGTTCCATAGGAAGTAACAATAGCGATACTGTATCAAACCTCCATGGTTATGACGAATACACGGAGCATTCCCACAGAGACAACGCAATAACAATGGGTCGTTGCGTAGGAATCGTGGAATCAGCAAAGCAGCACATGGCTGAAGATATTTTCCTTCGAATGTGCAAGGATAATTCCAATATGAACGTGGATTTCACAGCAGAAATCTACAGTGAGGCGTTGATAATGATTGAGGATTTGTGCTTAGAAATCGCGAACAAAGTTCTCAATCAATAGGGACTACCATCACCGAATCGATCTGCTGCTGCTTCGTTCAATGTAGAATTGCGTCGTGAACAAAATTACAACATGGGTGATCTTTTGTCATATGTGCAATCAAATATTCCTAAGCTAACGCTTGAGCAAAAAGGCATATACGATCAAATCATGCAAACTGTCAATAACGGGGTTGCAGAAATCTTCTTAGATGCGCCAGGAGGAACTGGTAAAACGTTCCTAATTAGATTGATTCTGGCAACAATTCGATCCCAAAATGACATGGCCTTAGCTCTTGCGTTGTCTGGAATAGCTGCGACATTGCTACCAGGTCATTGCCATTGAACATGCAATTCATTGAAAATCCCACGTGCAACATTTCCAAAGGATCAGGCATGGGAAAGGTATTGCAGAAATGCAAACTTGTTTGGGATGTATGCACAATGGCGCACAAAAAAATCGCTCGAGGCTCTTGATCGATCATTGCAAGATTTGCGTGGAAACATCAGACCATTTGGGAACGCATTAATATTGCTTGCAGGGGATTTCAGGCAAACATTACCTGTAATTCCTCGATCGACACCAGCGGGGGAAATAAATGCTTGCCTGAAATGCTCTACTTTGTGGCGACACGTAAAGACGTTAAAATTAACTACAAATATGTGTGTCCAGCGAATAGCTTTCATATCAAAGCGATGGCCACGTGTTGCAAATTATACCTAACAATAAAAATATTCTGTGTGCAATAAATTAGTTACATTTTCTATCAGTACAATGAAAACAGTTGGCCAGATATTCGTAAAAACGTGTCGAAGTAAAGTTATAACCAAAATTTAAATAGTTCAGTATTCTGCTGCAGTGTGCCAGGGTGCGACACACATAGTACATAGAATAATATAATATCAGGTTACTATTTAGATATGTTATATACTCTTTTCATATAAAGCAGCCATGTTATTGAATGTTTTGTATGTTTCTATCACTGCATTACAATAATTACATTATTAATTCACAGATTAGAACACTACCATATCAACTTACACTGTTAACCAATTAATATTACTCATTTTTTAATAAATCAGTACTCTATTAGTACCCCTACAACTTACACTTAATCTCTGAAAGTTCTTTACCGATTGCTTCGAAATTTTGACATAATGTTGCATTCGAATGCGCGCATGTTTTTATATACCTACTAGCTGTACCCGGCCACGCGTGAATCCGGAAAGTATACTTCCATGGAAATGCAATAACAGTTGCATAGGAATTGCCGAAACAACAAACGCGTTTCCCTGGAGATTAAAGAATAAGAGGTTCCGTTGTGTAACAATGGGTGAAACCGAAAAGTATACTTCGATGGAAATGCAATAACAGTGGGCCGTTGCATAGGAATTGCTGAAACAACGAACGCGTTTCCCCGGAGATGAGAGGATAAGAGGTTCCGTTGCGTAACAACGGATGAAACCAAACACTTCTACAAGGTGTTCTGTGCTAGCATTTCCTAAGCAACAGATGAAACTAACTCTTCAATAAGGTACTCCCTATCCCGTCCGAACGCTGGCTATATGTATAAGAGAGTGTAGCTCCGGTGACTGTTCAGTATCACGAGGTCACAAGAATCACAAGAGATTCTGAGTGAAATCACAGCAGAGATCCTGAGTTTGCACCCAAAGTTTTGGATTCGACTCTGGCAGCATTTCCCCTGTGATAGACAACAGAAGGCTCATTGTATAGCATCCGCCGAGGTATAAATAGTCCAGCTTTATTTTTCATTGTTTTTCATTTCGTTTTCTTAACTGTTCTCCTTATTTTTCAGTGCATTTGGCGGTGGGATTGAGCTGTGTCGATTGATCTGCGTTTGAATTGAAATATTTCGTTAGACTGAGTCACAGCAACGTGTGGCCGGGTACAGCTAGTTTCTATTAAAATTTAAATGAGGTTCTTGTGTTTTGGCAGTGTGCCACAATGGAAGAGGACATGGATACAATCAAAATGAACAGTACAACATATATTGCACACTTTATCATACTTACTGTATAGTATGGGGGTACATGGTAGCATAGTTGGTTGAGGCACTATGCTACAAGCGGGATTAAATCCCGATGAGGTAGATTTTTTCAATTGACCTAATCCTTTCAGCCGCACTATGGCCCTGGGATCGACTCAGACTCTAACAGAAATGCTTACCATGAATATTCTTGGAATATTTTTGGGGACAAAGGGTGGCCGACACGTAAGGCTGATAGCCTTGCCACCATCTATGAGCCGATTCTCTAGAAAATGTGGGAACCTTAACCTCTCACAACCCTATGGGCTTCCATGGCCTGTTAAAGGGATACCTTTACTTTTTTTTACTTTACTGTATAGTATGAAAATTAAATTTCTGGTCACTAGGCAGTTACTTTTTCTGACATGTAACCAATAAAGAATTACCAAGGTATGTATTCCCCATATTTTAATATTATTTTTTTTAATCTGTCATTCAATTCAAGGAATCCAGTTTGTCTTTCATATAAAATATAGGTATCTCTCAATGTACAGTGGTAATTTGTTCCATGAAGCTGTCCATAAAGTGAAAATTTATAAATCAAAAATGAAATTCCTATTAATTTACATGTAAAAGTTAGCAACCTTACAAACCTAACTTTGTTGTAGCGAAAATGAAGTTTGTTAACAGTTACAAGTTAATGTGATTAGTTGTAGCAAGCGTTTTTGTACAAACTGTTCATAAAACAAGGGACACTTATACTCTCATCAAATTACATAGACACAGTTTACAGAATGTGAAAAAATATTATATGAATAAAGTCTTTTCAGCTTTTCAGGCACTAGATGACTGTACATACACACATTTGTAGTTAATGAAACACTAATCCAATAACACTGTAAAAGGTTTGGTACATGCTTGTAAAATATGATTCAGAGAAACCGCTCCATCTGCAAATATGTCGAGATCTTTACCCACCACATTGGTAGCAAGGGCGCACCGAGAAGAGGTTCTTTCCCCGCTGATTCTTCCAAGCCCGTTCCCTTGGCAGTGGTTTCGCTAGATAGTAGATAGGGACAGTGGGCGATTACAGATAACTTGGATAACCAGGAGAAATGCAACTAATAACCAACTGATCGCCTGCCACAAAATTGTATTTATATACTAGACGACACCATAGTGGGAAATAATGCATATATGTATTGTTCTCAGTAAGATAACTATGTATGAGGTAGTTTCGTAACATACTGTGACATGTTGCGCAACGGAGAACCCCCCCACCAGCAGTGACGCGGCGGGTGAGTCAGCGCTCCCCTCCCCCCCTCCGCACGGTAACGTAACGCGCAATGCGCGGTGACGCAACAGGACAACGTGGAACCGGTTCCTACTGTGACGCGACATGCAACGACACTGTTGACGCGGGCAACAGGTAACAGCGAATGGAATATAAGAGAGCTGCGCTGCCTGCGAAGAGAGTTGTAACGTAGCAGTCGGCGAGTCCAGTTCTCAGTTCGCGAGTTACGAGTTACAGACGCGTGTGCGAGAATCAGTGATAATTTGTGATAACCAGTTATATTTGGAGTGTGTAATTCAGCGAGACTTGTATAGCTCCCATACTGTGAATACGTGTAGCCTACTGAAGATAGAGTGAACTGATTTGCGAATAGGGTTATAAATCGTGAAACCCCGCAACAGTGTAAACAGATTATTGCGAATAGGGTTATAAAGTGTGAGACCCCGCAACAGTATAATAAGTAATTGTAGCCGTTACTTGTAGATTGTTAAATAAACCAATTAACCATGTCTACGGTGTCTTCAGTAATAAAACACATTACAATACTGTCAGAATTTAGGGGTGTGACTGTAGATGGGTTATGGATTGGAGACTGGACTTATTGATCTCTTGTACACACCACTTGGAACTACATTTTACAGAACACTGACACACACAGACTACTCTCCTCAGTCTGTTACAGTCTCCACTAGCTGTTTCCTGGCAACAGATTTAACACAGTGGAGATTCTTCAGCTTCCCACACTCAGGTCCTTGTCACAGCCACCTGTGCAGAACTCTTGTCAAGTGACAACCCAACTACCTGGGTCCCGGGCTGGTGGCTGTTTATCGCCAACCTTCTAGTCTTCTCTTTACAGCCTGACTTTCAACTGACAACTGAACTCTCATTCACCAACCAGCTACTTCATATCACTTCATTCAACTGAACTGCTGATAACTTCAACTCCAGAACTCGACTCATTGCTCCAGACTGTCCTGCTTATAACATCTTGGCATGGACCATATAGGAAACACTGTTTTCTTTCTCATAGTCCAACAGTATCTCAACTGTTGCATAGAAATGGGTGTGTGTTTATTTGCCTACTGCATTGTAATGGCTGCACTCATTACAATACACTTCAAAGGGAATGAAACAGAATGTCCTATTTTTTGGCATGTCTTTAAAATAGGGATATTTTCATTAGACTTGCAATATAAATTGTTGGAATCACAGTGAAAAATGAAAGGTCCTGCTCATGCGCTCTCTCTTGTGACTCATATTGCCAGTGGTTATATATTAAAATCAAATGAATATATGTTAAGTTATATGTAGCTCACCCATCTTATTTCAGTTTCTTGTGTCAAAGGTTCACAGATTGATATCCACTCTTCTGTTATGCATACTGGATGCAACACTAATAGAAGGGACATCAGCAAGGTGCAATTATGAGCTGAGGGATACTGCAGCACGGGTCTTGGCAAAGGTAACATGGTAGGAAATGTATGCACAGTGTAACAGTTCTGGTACATTTGCTATGTTGTTGCTTCTAGATTTTTCATGAGTGTCTATTAGATATAAGTATATGCTTAATTTTTCTACTTCTGTTCGGAACATTTTTTATTTCAACTAATATTTAGGGAACTTTGCTCAAGAGGCATGCTGAAATATATGTAGGTTTTCATGTAAAGTGTCTGTTATTGTCATAATTAGGGATGGAGTTACCATATTATATGTTACCTAGTTAGTATATTTTTGAAGATACATGCTTCATTTCATCCTAAAATCTGGTTACTCTTTTTAATTGTACAAGGTTGTGAATCGCTGGTGTGACACAGACACCAAACTCCACTTGGATATACTGCAGAAGTTAGGATCTGTATTGCTAGATGGTAACAACTCCTTGCGCAACCACTATGCAGCTCTTAGGACTGTGTGTGCTGTCGGTTATGCAGCCCTTGATTATTGCCTGTGGCCACAACTGGAACAATATCTTGCATTTCTGGACATAATGAGAGTTCAGCTGGAGATTGGGAGGAATAAAATGGTATTATCACCAGCATCGTGGATTGAACAGAGTTCTGATATTATGGAAATTGAAGGGACAATTTTGGTAAGATATTTGAAACTTTGGGTCACTTAGCATAAAAGGACAAATAAACAGTACTAAGAAAGAGTACTTCCTGGTTGAAGGGCTTACACATCATACACAAGACATTTTGTACCCCAGTTCTCACCCTATAGATTAAAGAGTAATATTGTTCCAGGATTTTCTATCAGTGTTTAATGTTCAAGATACAAGAACAAGTTTGAAATGAAGGCATCAAGCATGTAATACATACTAAGAGTTATGCACTACTTCAGTGGAGGGGTGGGGGTAGATATATGTAAGTGGCATAACTTTAATATATAGAAGATAAATTTTTAAAGGCTCTGACATTGGTAAATTACGCTCAGGATTAATGGGTTTCATCTAGTATTAAAAACAACACAATCTGGATGTTTCTCTTTGAGGTGAAAAGGTGAGTTGAGTCTATCAGAGAGAGCTCTCTCCAGTACAGTGGTTCAGATTAGCTCTTTGTAACAAACCCAACTGAATAGGAGCCTCCCCACTTAATTCAGTAATCCTAATTATGTCAAAGATGTTAACACTTTGCGGACCGGCCATTTAAATATTTAAATCACCCTGGGGACCGGCATTTTTAAACCTACTACCCTAACTTGTGCACTGTTCACTTCAAATATTAATATAAAATCTCCTAATTAATTTTATGAACTAAAATTCTTGGAGAACACTTACCAATGCTCCTAGAAGTGCTTGATGTTGTGATATTTCTCGAAACATTCCCCTCTGTGAAGTGGCATTACACAAAACTTGCAAATGTAGGCAGTCCTACACCTTTTCTTGTGAAATGCGCAAACACGGCATTTCCTAGAAGGCTACTTCCCCTTGAAATGTTCACTCTTCACAATTTTCGCGAGGGTATGTTTCCACATATCACCCAAGAGTCGCCCAGGGGGGTCAAAATGAGGCCTGCGTGGGGTGGGGGTAGACGGGCCTGGTCGCGCTAAGACTGTGTCTGCCGCCGGTTCTGCCGCTACCGTGTGGTCTGTAGCCCAGGCTTTTGCCACATTCAGCAGAAATGCCTTGTATTTCAATTTTGAATGAGAGTATAGATTTTTGAAAACCAAAAATGAATTGATAATGGCACAATGTAAGATTATCTAGGTTAGCGGCCTCCGTAGTCTAGAGGTAACGTTCCCACCTCATGAGTTGTGGTACGTGGGTTCAAAAACCCGGCGGAGGTCGTGGAATTTTTAAGGGCAGAAAAATTCAGGGAACAAGTCCTCCGGGAGGGACTTTAAGCCGTGGGTCAAGTGTCGTAGCTTTACGGCACGTAAAAGAACCTCATATCTCCAAAGGAGGTCACTGAGCCAAATTCAGGACATTTCCCGCCCAACATTAGTCACTAACGCCTCCGATAGATGGGGGAAGCATTATAGATACCGCCAAGTCAGTAGAGGCGCACTCACTGGCTCAGTCAGGACTGATGGTACGCACCAATATCGGTAGGGTATAGAGACTGGTAGAATATCATAGAGGGAAGCACAGTGGACCAATACTGGTCTAAGTGCATGGGGAAACCCACCCTCTCTAATAACTAACTAAGATTATCTGGTTACAATATTATATTAAAGTATTAAAGATAAGCAGCGACACACACAGAGAGAGCCTACACAGAACAATACCTGAACAACGATAAACAAGAAGTGGCCGCTGCAGCACTTAAGACATAGGGCATGTACCCTGAGGAAAATTTTAATTTTAAAATTTGAAAAAGGAAAAGAACAGAAATTTTATAGATATTTTAACTTGAATTAAAGTTTTAAAAAAGTGCTAATTAGAAATCAAAATTAACGTGTGTAGGTTAACAAACATTTTATACAATTAGAAAGACTGGTGATTTTAAATTTTAACAGGCAGTGTAACAGCTACNAAACATGTAGTGTGGAGTGAGGGGAAAGAAGAAAGAACTAAATTAAATTGTTACACTTAAGATGGTGTTTATCTTATATATAAAGATTATCTGGGTTAATTTGTCGTGACGTGATTTTGCCCACGATCAGGTTTTATGGAATTGTGACAGTGTATAAGTGTAGCAACGGGGTCGAGTTTTCATAAAGATCACATGGATTTTGACGACCACAAAGTTTACTAACTATAATCTATTTCTTATATCTTCCAACAAAGTACTCACTGCTTTAATGCGAAACTCTTTATACACACGACATATACACGCTGTGATTACGCCATTCCTGCTTACACTGGTAAACCGTAACAAATGTATCCTTTGCTTACCCCTGGATTTCAAGTAAACTGTCTCAAAGCAGGTGTTTAGTCTACTTTACCCCATGTGGCTGTCCCCGCAATGCTAGCACTCACACTTTCATCGGAGCACTCACTGTCACTTTCACTTTCTCTTCTGGTCACAATATTTTGGGGGCCCCTGTCACTGCCACTGACACTGCCCTCGCTATCAGAAGACGAAGCAGTTGGCAAGTCAGACAACTCATCGGAGATCAAATCACAGATTTCTTCTTCTCCAAGAGCTCATGTGGCCTTCAACTGCTTTCATCTCTGAGCCATGTTGACACTGAGAATATGTTACCTCACACATAGAAGCTTTGACTTGAAAAAAGGGACTTTTCTTTAGAGTGAGAGGGGAATAGAGTGTGGTTATGTTGCTGACTTGGAAAACAAACATTCCGAAGGTCAGCTACGCAGTAATTTTACAGACATGTGGCCACCAAAGCGAGAAATAGTGTTGCAACATAACGTGTCCTAAAGGCCTAAATCTAGGCGACTGGTTTGCCTCGTTTAAAACCCAAACCCCTAGGACTAGGCGTCCGGTCCGCGAAGTGTTAAGAGAAGGAACCATAAATACACTTGACCAACAGCACATATCCCATCAAGTTATTCTTCCAGAGCACACAACCTTTCCAAGTTAAACAGACAACAGAGTGAATTCAGGTTTCCTTGTTTAAGTCCTATGGTGTAGAATAAATACCAGTTTTGGGGGATGGGGTGGAAGACATTCCTGACTTATAAATTATGGTAAAAGAAGACATGACAAGAGACATATCAACTTAAACTATTTCGTATTATTTTTTTCGAACCTCACACCAATCACATGCAAATTAATGTGCAGAGAGAGAGAGAGTATAAAACTCCTGCCATGTTTATACCTAAATTCAGACTATAAGAGATGCCAAAGAATGTAGATAACAAAATAAGATTTGGCACACCATCATAACACGGTGGAAGGCTTCTAACATAGACAGGAAAGGGTTAAAACACAAAAGAAGTCAGAAGTAATCAGTTCTAACCTACTGACAAGGTGAGAGCAATTGCAATGAATATAATCAGATATGAAAAAATGGACATTGAATTCATAAGGCCCCCCATACACACACAGTTTGGCCTTCTGATTGACCCCACAGTCAAAACTTTCACAGTTTACCCCCTCCCCTTTCCTTCCCCATACATATGCAGATAAACCAGCAGGCTTCATGGAACAATCACGGTCTTCCAGCCTATAATGCTGAGTCACACACGTCTCGTGCTACAGTCCTGCAGGTAGAACTGACGGACTGACCGGTTTCCCACAGGCCAACAGTCCAAACGATTGGCCGGCCGGCCGGCCGCACCACACACATCACTTTTGCCTTTCAGTCTTCAACTGTGCAGGCCGAACTGGAGGCCAAACTGTGTGTGTATGGGGGCCCTAAGTGTTGGCATGGAGTATAAACACTGGCAGAAACAGCTCTGAATTCACCAATAGTTAAGTAAGTGCATCTTCAGCGGGTTTGACAATCCAAGATTGAAGACACATTTTATAGCTATTCTTAGGATTCTTTGTTCTTTGTTTCTCTTACAGACAGCTACTGAAATGCTATATCGGAAGGAATGGAACAGTTCACAAGCTCAATCACCTACAGAATCCAACATAATGATACTAGAAAAGTTGCTTGAGGCATATTTTGGTGACACATTATGTGCCAGAAGACTGCAGCATCCTGCTGCAACCACCAAACAGGAAGATGTAGCAAATGCTTGCAACAGTGGAGGAATGGAAGTTGACATGTTGGTTTCTACTGTGATGAAAGATAGTGGTAACAGTGATTTTGATTATCAAAACTGGACAGCAATTGCCGAGATTCCAATCCATGTTCCATCCATGCTCATTAAAAGTAACAGAAATATATCAGCAGCAGCTTCACCTAACAGGAGGTTCAATATGCTGAGTGATGTAAGAATATCAAGTACCTTTGAACTTCCAGTTAAGCATGAGCATTGTCCAAACACAATTCACTTCAACTTTGCTGGTGCCAATCCCATGCCTAAAAGACATCTGAAACGACGAATATTGGATCCTAGACATGCACAGTTGGTGTGTCAAAGTGTTTACTTTAGTAAGAATTGTCAAGTGGGTTGCATAGGCAAGTTAGTGCGCAGACAACACAGAATTACAGCATCAAAATGTTGTTCAGCAAATATCATGACAGTATTGTAACTGGTGAGTTAAAAGCTGAAGTTGTGGTTTTGATTCTGTACAAGGGAGTGTGAAATCGCTTTTATGAATCATAAAATCATTTTCATATGTTGGTAGAACCTGTCTTGTGAAGAGTCAGTCTCAAAATGGATGTATAATTTCTAAGAAATTTAAAATATACCTGTCAAATAATACTCTATATGTATTAAGTAAAAGTGAAGGTATCCCTGTAACAGGCTGTAGAGGCCCATAGGGTTCTGAGATGTTGAGGTTCCCACATTTTATAGACAGTCAGCTCATAGATGGTGGCGAGGTTGTCAGCCCTACGCTCCGGCTGCCCTTTACCCCCAAGAACATTCCAATAATATTTTTGGTACTCATTTCTGTTAGAGGCTGAGTCAACCCCAGGGCCATGGTGCAGCTGGAAGGATTACATCAGTTGAAAAAAATCCAATGACCTCATTGGGACTTGATCCCACTACCTTCCGTGTTGTAGCAGTGCCTCCACTCTATATGTATTGGTGACAATAAAGTTCCCGAACTGACACTATTACAGTAATACTACTAACTCCATCTACCATCTATTGGGGATGAATGGGAATAGTTAAGAGGGAAAGTATATATATATATTATGTGCAAGTTTCAATTTGTTTGGTTGATGCATATGAGGATTACAATTGTTTTGGTTAAGTAAGTTAATATGAAGACACACACACACACATCCAGCAATACAGTGCATGCAGCCACAAGGGAGGGACACATCACAAGACACAGTATACACAAAATATAGGAAGAACAACTCCCATAGCGGAAGATTGATATAACACACGAGTTTGAAATACTACGTATAAGATGATAAATCTTAACAAAAATTTTAATATATAAATTTTATTATAGTACATGACGAATATAAATTTTAAATCATTTTATAAATGACACATGATGGCGAGCAGTGCAATAGTTTAACGTAAATAACACACCTGAGGATGGCACAGTGATGCCGAAACATGTAGTGAAGTGACAAGTGAGATTGTGTGCACTAGAAGAGGGTCAATACATACACATCATGGACGCGAATCAGTGCAACAGGACGCTAAAATACAACATTGAGAATAAGAGTGTTTGAATGGCATAAATGGTATAAGCTCCAAAAAGTGAGAATGCAAGAATTGTGGCTGAAAACAATGTTGGCTGCATTCTTTGATGCTAAACGTGTTATTCATCACGAATTTGTGTTGGAAGAACAGACTTTAAATGGTAAATTTGATAAAGAGGTGATTAAGAGATTGATCGCCCGAGTTCATCACATTAGGCCTGAGTCTCAGGAAAATGGGTTCTGGTATCTTCTGTATGACAATGCACTGGCTCATTCTTCGGACTTTGTCTGAGTTTTTAGTGAAAAGATGGATTCCCATGTTATCCCATCCATCCTACTCCCCTGATTTAGCACTGGCTGACTTTTTTCTGTTCCCTAAATTAAAAATTGCTATGAAAGGGACCAGATTTATGGCTGTTTCGTTGATCCAGCAGGCTGTGATGAAGGCGATGTGGGAAGAAGTGTTTTCTCGGGCATTCGATTTGTTGTATGAGCAATGTAAATACTGTGCGAAGTGGGTGGAGATTATATCAAGTGATGGTATTAATAAATGTTTTTTATCTTTTTTGTTTTCTATGGCCTCAGTTTGTGAACTTAATTGGCACACTGTGTATATACTGTATGTATGAAACTTTGTTCATGAGTCTCACACTATACCAGTTACTCCCATTTTACGAAAGGAAACAGTATGAGAAGACTGACCATTATTTTGATATCTGAAACAGTGGTTCTATCCAGATTACATACCATGTAAATATGAAGCACCCTCAACTATTATTAACATTCAAACGTCGGACTTTCAACATCGTGGTAGCTTTAGCTAGCCGGGGTTTATTTAAATGCTTGCTGCTGGTGCACATTTAAATGGCAGTTCCTGTTAGGAAGCTTTCACTGTATTAGAAAAAGCTGTATGTAATACAATCTTTATGATAAATGAACGGAATTAACTTTGTTTTTATCAGCAAAGAACATAGTGCTGCATAGTATAATGTAGGATTTGAAAATATTTAGACAAAGAAGTTATACTTTGAAGTTTTTAATTTGTTCTTGTAATTTTGATGCATACTGTAAATTGTGGGGCACGTGGTAGCATAGTTGGTTGAAGGGCTATGGTACAAGCCAGAAGGTCGTGGGTTCAAGTCCTGATGAGGTCATTCGATTTTTTCAGTTGACCTAATCCTTCCAGCCACACTAGGCCCTGGGGTTTACTCAGTCTAACAGAAATGAGTACCAGGAATTAATTAAATAATTTTCCTGGGCAGTAAAGTGCGGCTGGTGCGTAAGGCTGACAACCTTTCAAGCCAATTGTCTAGATAATGTGGGACTCTCAATGTCTCACAACCCTATGGGCCTTCATGGCCTATTACAGGGATAGCTTTACTTTTTACTTACTGTAAAAATTGTTCCCTGCTTCTTCATAGAGTAGTTCTGCTTCTAGCACTTGAAATATTTTTGCATTCTCTGGCGCCATAAACCAGCTGGAAGCAATAAAATCATTTGGTTCTCTGCTGGCAAGTTTCACATCTTTGTTGCACTCTTCAGATATTCGAGTCTTTTGTTCAGAAGGACGTAAAAGTGAAAGCACTGCAGTTCAAGGTAGGTTACAGGGTCTTTGTTCACTTCCTCAGTGTCAAGCCCTTCCATTGCGTTTGAGATAAAATATTGCCCCCCACATTTTAATTCGCTTAGTGGTAGTGGTGGTGGTGGGGGGGGGGGTAGAGTCCAAGTGGGTCCACTCAGCACGGCGGCCACTGATTGGTGTATTGTAGCCTGCCCGGGGTGATTATGATGATGGAGAATTTAATGGAATGAAGATTGACAAGGGAAACCGAAGTACTAAGAGAAAACCCACTCCAGTGCCACTTTTTTTTTTTTTAATGCTAGTGGGGTGGGACCAAGTCCCTTGTACTGCGGCCACTTCTGGCCTATTGTACCAGCCCCAGATGATAGGTGAGGGTGATTGTGGAGAAATTGGTGGAACGAAGATTGTCAGGGGAAACTGAAGTACTCTGAGAAAACCTGCCGCAGCGCCACTTTGTCCACCACAAATCCCACTTGACCAAACCCGGAATCAAACCTGGGCTGCCACTGTGGGAAGCCAGCGACTAACTGCTTGAGCTGTGGTGTGGCCAAATATTGCCCTTTCTAAAATCATAAACAAACACTTGCATCATAGCTGAGATACACAGTACATTCAGTTTTTTGTGAGTTCATGGTGAATTCAAATAATGTAAATAGACTTGAAAGAATTCTGATGATGGTGTATGCTGTACAGAACTATACGGCTTATTTTGGACTTTATCCATTGTCTGGTATATATAAGACAATGGATAAGTCCAAAATAAGCATTACACATGTAGTTCTGTTCAAATAATGTAGTTTCGTATCATCATAAAATGGTAATGCTACATTATTTGGAAGCTAATGAAATTGAAAGGCAACTGAAGTACAAGATATGTGACATGGGACCTTGCATTTTCGGGTGCTTCAAGAAGTACATACAAAAGTGAGATTCAGTTACATAAGGGGTGGGGGGGATCCTGTGTATATATCAAGCCGATAACTTAAAAAAAAAAGTATGTACATTGAATCCTGCTCTATTTAAAACTAAATATATAGGATTGGGCATTTGGTTCTACTAGCGGAGCGTGTGCATGCTTCTGCTAGCAGAGTTTAAATGTTCAAATGCACAAATCAGTGTATTTCGGCCACAGTGACCATACTCATCAGTGTACCCATTGGTGCACTTCAGATGTTAAAGGTTAACAAACTGAACTCTATCTACAGATATGTGAATACTTTGCTTTTTGAATTGCTTGCAACGTTTTCTCACATGGTTAGTGATGATGTTACCACTCATCTTTAAACATTAAAGAAACTCCATTCTGGCTAAGTGGATTCTGATTAAGCATTGGCTGTCATAACCCTAAATGTGGACTTGGAAGATGGGAATAGCCTGTTACTTTTAACAGGCTTAGACTACCACTTGCTTGAAGATATATTATTTTGTTCAATACCTGAAATGAAGAATGCTTCAGACAAAATTTTCACAACATAAATTAACAGATCTAAAAGTTTTGCTAAAATTCTATATTACTCAGACCAGACACATCTGATTTGCAATACAACCTGGAATATTTGTTCATGAATAACGTATACACATACAGGGAACATTCTACAACCCAGATTACAGTCTTTATTGTCGACTTATTTAGTAACACTTTCAGCTGCTCCAATTATAGATATGGCATTAAATGATAAGGATGTTATTGAATAATGAACTGGAAAGCACTCCCATGGCCTAATTTAAAATACTATTCCAGCATTTGCCAGGAGGAACCAAGGAATACCGTGAAGACTGAGTCAGCATGGTGTCCAGGTGATGATTGAAGCCCAGGATCTGCCACATACAAAGCAGGACTGCTAACCACTAGATTGTGACAGTCAGTCACTATTTATTTTCAACTGTAATAATAGCAATTATTTTGATTCCTGGCAAGTGGAAGAAACTTTTTCTCCTCTCCAGTGCCCAGACCAGTTCTACCCAATGGTTATCAGAAGCTCTTTCAGCAGAGGTAAGGCAAATGCAGCATGATGCTGACCACTCACCATCTAGTGCTGAGGTTAACAATATGTGGATCTGTACTTAACTCCCACCTATTCAAGATGCCGTACTTAATTAAGCACAGGGGTTTTACCTTCTGCCATGATGTATGGGAAATGGATGTAGAGCTCTTACATATTCTAAACCTAGGCACTGGACAGAATGCAAGTTATAAGCATCCATGGACTCTTTTAACTCCCAGAGAAAGAGCAGCTGGAACCCAATGGATAGGAAGTGGGGTAGACTCAAGAGCCAGTGTGAACACTGATGAAAAGAAAATGTGCCATACCTGTCAAGAATTCCCAGTTTTTTACTATCAGTAATACTGTTTGAAAAATTCATTCACCCATTTACCATGGCATAGTTATTCTGGTGAAAATTCCAACTCTGATTCTAGTTTCCATAATATTATATCTGATTATCAGTATTTCTGCATGTACATTGTTTTTCTTCCTGCAAGTTGCTGCATGAAGTAGATAACATATCTATACAATAATGCATGCTTACCTTCAGACTTTCTGAATGCCAAACATGCTAGTTCATAGGTCCTCCTGGCCAAGAACTGAAGATGTAATAAGGTGCAGTCTGCTCAGATGACATCTCATGGACAGTGACAAATGAATACATAATACCAGTAGAATAACAGTTACCACAAAACCAAAGTAGTCGAGGAAAGCATTCAGTACTGTCACTTCGCTCATCTCAAGTCTCTCAGGAAATGGCCTGGAACTGAACCCACATCTCAAAGGAGAGAATATGTCTTCCAGCAATACTGGCAACCTAATTACCTGATCTAAAATCAAGAGACATTTTAAGTTAGTTCTTTAATAATTATTTAAGTAAGTAAAAGTAAATGTATCCCTGTAACAGACTGTGGAGGCCCACAGGGTTGTGATATGTTGAGGTTCCCACATTTTCTAGATAGTCAGCCCATAGATGGCAGTAAGGTTGTCAGCCTTATGCGCTGGCCGCCCTTTACCCCCAAGAATATTCCTGGTACTCATTTCTGTTAGAGGCTGAGTCAACCCCTGGGCCACAGTGCGGCTGGAAGGATAAGGTCAATTGAAAAAATCCAACGACGACCTTGGGATTTGATCCCGTGACCTTCTGGCTTGTAGCACAGCGCCTCAACCAACTATGCTACCGCATGCCCCCCAGTTATTTAAGTATTCTTCCATATTTCAAGATACTTGATATATTATCACTACAGATGGCACTATAGGCTCCCTCCTGATACCCAATAGGTATGCTGTCTGAACTACCTCACCACCATAGGGCCACAATCAGTAGCAAACATAAATCTACAAGTGTGATCGCACAGATTGAGGTGCAATTTGTATTCCTACCAGAGCGGACAAAATACATTGTAATATGAGGCACCGGTCAAACAATTAATATCAAATAATACTACATCTATACCATGGGCCTCCAAGCAGTTTACTATATGTATACAAGTCATGAATATACCGCTATATGTACGCTGGAATATAACAACAAGATTGCAACATCTGACTTCATAATATGAAATAGCACATGAAGAGTTTTTAACCATATTTTATTATATAACTTTCATTTTATAAAAATCTTATAATTCATTGTATTTTTATACCTTGTATTTTACAGTGTAACATAGCTGTCAAGTGTCCAGTTCTACTGTCACACTGAAATGCAGTTCAATAGTGTGTGAATATGGTAACCATGTATTTTGCTTGATGATGGCTTTAAAGCCAAAACATGTAGCTAAGGTAATGTTGACTTTGACCCTTATGTTGTTGTGTTATGATAGATTCCAATAAAGAATTGTATATAATAAAGGCAACAGGATGCACAAAGTGAAAATTACCAGTGTATTGTTTTCAGGGTAGGATGAATGTAGAACACATTTCAGAGCCATCATGTCATTCAGCCAAATAACAACTGTGTTCCTGATTAAGGCTGTCTATGCATGTATGTACTCACTAGCAATATGCCTATGGCAGCAAGATACACACCAACATTTTTACGATCTTTAGCCGTTATGCACTTAATTGACCAAGATTTGGAGTACATAAGGTAAACAACTGTACAAAGAATATGTTTATTTTACATAGGTGCAACAGCCTTTCCATAAGTTGTTTATATAAAGCAGTTCTTGTACACCATATCCTAGACATGATGAAATGTTCCAGTGTTCCTTTGTATCATCATGAGTATAACACCATAACAGAGATCACAGGAAAATCACTGTTCTTTGGAAGCCATGTGACGCATAAGGTTATTTATGAACTTCTCAACTTTCTTCAAATCTTGAACAATTTCAGTTTTATACTGAAGACACTGGAAACAAAATGGTTCCATTATTTGAGTAATATGATTATTTATGCTGATGATGCAGTATAATTTTAGAGAAAACATTTCTTTAATAGTCCATGTCAATTAACTCACATCAACATCATCTGTTAACTTCAAGGAAAGGCAGCCTTTGTTGTGGGTATATTTCATAGAGTATCGCACCTGGAAAAGAAAGAAAGGTTATACTACAGATATGTTGTCAGAGTTACAGTTTCTCTAACTTGTAAATGTATATTTGTGTTCACTTTTTACTGTGAAGCACATAATGTTTTAGGAAAATTATGAAACAAGACTTCGACTAATTTCTTTACTGATGTTTTTGATAATGTCCAGTGTTCCAGCTAGTCTCAAATCCTGGTCTGGGGTTCACAAACTTGCTCATGCCAGGTGGCAGGATGAAAGACTTCACTGCTAAGAAGCTCAACTGATTCCTTACTTTTATCCTGTCACCTGGTGAAGGAAACAGGATCCATTTCTTAAAAACTGTGGTTTATAAAAGTGGGACAATGGGCAATGTCCAAAATATCTGTAAAAACTACTGTTATACACTATATTCAGAAACCTTCAGACATAATCAAATGCTTTAGCAAGATGGCAAGATATTTAGTCAGTAAGAATTTTAGTATTAGGAGCCCATAAGATTTCTGTAGAACTCAACATGTCTTTATCCAATGGGATTCTTTTGGAATCAAAATTCATTTGCAATAGCCTTGTTCAAGTTTAAAAAATTACTCCGTTACACATAACTTTCTCAAATATGTCAGAGAATGTTACTGGTAATTAAATTGGCCTGTAGCTGTAAGTGCAATATTTTTCGCCTTTTTTATACAGTGATCTCACGTTCTAATATTTGAGTTGGGCATAAAACGTGGCTTGAATCTGACTTGCCAGAGCAGAGAACGGAAAAGGGCACCGGTATCTGGCATGCAGTACAAAAACCATGCACCCTGCCGTTGGGCCCTCACGTATTAAATGGCCATTTAGGCAGTTTCATTCACTATTATAAACACTATTGTTCAACGCCATCTTACACGGCGAAAACTCGTATTCAAAACCCACCTTCATAGGATCTTGCAAATATAACCTTTCTGCTGCTTTCTCAAATTCTTCCCATGATTTCACGTAGGTCATTTTTATTCCACTGTACTTTGTATAATGAAAAGAGTGCTCCTGAAACATCAAGATAAAAAAACGTGTATTACCTTTGTCTTACATAACCCTTTAAGGTTCATCACGAACCATCTAAACACACAAATTCATGACCACAGAAACCTTAACCAATACACCATATGCTCTCACACGCACTATCTCTCTCGCACCGCACATACCAGAATTACCAGAAGTGCCAGAACGGCCAGAACGCACTAAAACCACGAAAACACTAGCACGGGCAGCACGAGATTACTTTCGTGCATACCCTGACATGGTTTCCGTGACGTCACGAAAGAATTACTACTACCATCTACATTCAGATACGAATCAATTGGTACAAAATAGCCGCCGCCAGTGCCGAGAGCACGATCGGTAAGAAAGTATGCCCACACTTCACAATTCTATCAGTACCGCCCCCGCCCGCAACACCCGGAACAATTAATTCACAAGGATAGCAATACATAATATTCCAACTTGATCTCTTGTACTGGAGAGGTTCTTATTACGTTGTTTTTTTGGGGGGGTGTGGAAGAACTGAGTTTATCATTTCATCCATATCCATCAAGAGAAAATTTCTCACCAGTGTCAAGTATGAACATTTCAATTACATCAGTCCAACATCAATTTGAAAGAAAGGACATAAAGATCACGCTAGGTGTCAAGACAGCCATTGCACGTGAAAAGAGTCCTGTCATCATGTTCACTTGCACCATTCACATTTTGTGAAGCAAACTCATTTTCTCCTCCTTTGTACTGTGAGAATAAATGTCTATGGTGCAGACAGTGTGTACCGTCTTCACTGTCCTCTTCATTGTGCTGACTAAAATCAAGTCAATTCCTTTAGCTCAGCTACATGAAGACAAGTGCTGCTTTTAGTACTGGTTGTGTTCCTTTTAGGTGCACTGTTGTCAATATTTTTTTCAGTGCTTCCACTTATTGTCTTCTCTCTTTTTAACCATTCTCCATGAGCTTATTTTTATGTGGATACTGGTATTACTGTAGCTGATCCATGCTACCATGTAGCAGCATTTGCAGTTTGGGCTGAACATTTTTGTAGGTGAGAAACAGGCGAGATGTCACTGGGAACAGTAAATGAATGATTTGCTGCCAGTGCTTTGAACAGCAGCAGCTTTTATAAATTTTTAATCACTGATAATATTCTGGTTACATTGATACCTGTTTTATGAAAGCCATTTACCGCAATGTGTGCTGTTGTGTACTGCCAATGGGCAATGTCCATTAGTTTGTCTATTTGATACATCATCACAATTCTACTACCACTATGTTGCAACAAATTCTCAATCTCCTGGACAAAATATATCTTTAAGGGACATATATAAGACAAATCGAGAGGCTACATTTTGCCAAGTGAGGTGTAATACATACAACTGCAACACCACTGGATCAAGCCATCTCAGTAACCTCCACATTCAACTAATGAGAGTAATGGCCACCATGCATTAACAACATACAATCATCAACTGAGGGTTTCACATTTGCAATGAACTGCCAAAACCACTTACTGAAAGTTTTCAGTTGTACCCACCCTTAGGAGAGTGATTCTCCCACTGTGCCTTGGGGGGTCCCCCCACTCAATAACACCAACTTCATGTTCTTTCTTGAGATGACCAGTAGTAGCATGAAAATATCAAAGGCACCCATACATATAACCACTGCCACTACGGCCTCTCTCTGTTGACCATAGAGGAACAAATCATTTTTTCCCCTCAGAGCTATAACTCAACTGGCTTTATGTTGGACAACTCTGATACCGGTTTTGACACTGAACAAATGATTTAGAGAAAATTAATTCCTTCCATCTCAATTTAAAAAATTAAAAATGCTGTAACAATCACAGGAGTAAACCTCTTCATCTGAGCAGATGTAGATTGAGGTTTCTTTAATGACAGTTTTACTTGCCTTCACAACAAATTTTGCAGTCACTTCTTATCGGATCTCCCACTTTCCATAGCAAATGAGCACGATAGTATGTTTCTTATTGCTAACTGAAAAGCCATTCTTTGGTTATCTTTTGTCATCAGTCTGAAAAAAAAATTCTTTCCACGAGCAACAATAATTCACCACTTCATTTGGAACTTGAATAGAAGTACAGTTTTCTTCCCATTCCTATAGTCATTAGCTTTTGCTTCCTTGTATCTACTGTTCATGTAATCTTTCAATGTTGCTCTTGGTAAACTGAACATTTTTAAAACCTTCAACAAATTCAACACCTTATCTCTAACTGTGTTAACTGCCCACGACATTGATTCTTTACCCCAAGCTTCTAGTTTCTTTCTGTAATATCTTACATATAGGGAAAAAGAAGAATAACTTCAGAAGTTCATCAAAAACAACTCAAATTCTTAACACAGGGTAATACAAAAGTCCTTCCGGGATTTTCAAACTCTGCGGTACAGTACCTGGGATGGTCACGACAGGGGGGGATGTCAACAGAGAGAGAGAGACTTCAAGTTTCTGTCTTACCTTACACGTGCTCGATATAGCCAACCTTGGTGACGTGGCAGATGTCAATCCTGTAATTAAGCTCCTGCCACACACGTTGCAACATTTTACTGTACATAGCAACAATTGCCCACACTATCCTTTGCTGTAGCTGTGGTAAATCAGGTGGCATAGTGGGCATGTACATACGATTCTTGATGTAACCCCATAAGAAAAAATCATGGGGGGGGTTAGGTCAGGTGACTGTGGAGGCCAGGGAAGAAGAGCGTCATTGTCGAAAGTGCACCCATCAAACGTCCAGGAAGAATAGCAGTTAGGTGAGCATGGACGTCAAATTGGAAGACAAGTTTGGAAGTTCCAGAGAGACTTATGAATTATCCTGTACAGTCTGGTGGATATTATGATACATCTGATGTACGACATTAAGAACCTACTTTAGACATAATATAGTGCCCAGTATACATGCAAGACCTGGATGCAGATAACCAATAAATACTATAATCTAGCTAAAAATATTTGAAAGAAACCAGCTGTGATTAAATGCCTTTAGCGTAAAAATCAAATTTTGAGTATATTTCAATGACTCTGCCTTGTGAATTTCTAATAGTCACTGCTCTTCTAGCAGCAGCAATGAGCTACAATCATTCACGACTCATCTCCCTGTTCCTGTTGCTGGGATGGAGTTCAATCTCAGTTGCCTCCTCACGATTTTGTCTACGCATCTGCATTTGGTGTCTGAAATTAATGCTATGTCCTGCCATGGCTGGTCAAGATGGAGATGCCAGCGGTGCTCCTTAACCCCAGTATGAACAATTGTACAGCCTATTTGACCTATGTAAACCTCTTTAATTTGCTGGGTCAGTCTTCAAATATAACACTGTGTAGATCTGTCCACACTTACATAACACCAACAGTGTCTTCAGACCTAGGTCATCCTTGACCAGTCAAACGAAGCTGGAACTTTAACTCTAACAGAAGAACTAAGTGTCCTGCAAATTTGGTGGTAACTGAAGCAACTCAAGAATTCACAGCTTCACACATTCCTAATTTTGACAAAAGATACAGGCTTTCTTGCATCAGCCTCTTCCTATTCAAGGAAAACATTAATTATCCATACTTCTTGGCATGTTAACCGTAACATACTAACTTTTAAATTGCCGGCAGCTCCTACGGCCGGAATTTAAATGGCCCCAAGTCTTTAACATTGCAAACTTTCAGAAAAAAAAAATACATATTTTCCGTTCTATGCAACATCGGAATATGAACTAAAAAGAACCCGAAAGACAATAATATTTTCTACATATACACAAAAGGGCAATTTTTACAAATGAAAATTAAGTGTGATTATTTTGTCATGAAATGCAAAACATAATCGTTATTATATACGTTATGAATTTCTAAAGGACTTACCCATTGTTTTTCTTCAACCTTGAATCGTGGTGATGTAAATATGATGACACTATATACAATAATATTTGGTGTGGACTGTGTCACTTCACAGTTTACACTCTGACGTGCGTGTGCCATTTCTCAAAGCAGTCCAGCACACACAGTGCATCATCACACTTTTTACATGGCCAGTGCATTGAATGTCTCACCTCCAGTTAACTCAGTTGGGCCCCAGATGAACTTGGCCTCCCCCGAGAAATGCCACGGACCGTGATATTCGCCTCATGTGATTGAAGAATCAAATCACGCACCAAAATTTCGTGGAATTTTTTGTGCGTCATTTTTCCATCACATGACTTGTGTAACAGATATGCACTGAGAATAGTCATGTCTAGGAGGTGGAAGAATAATTTCTTTGTCCATTTCCATGTCCTCCGAGCCATGCCATAGCTGTTTACCATCCTCTCAGATTTATCCACAAAGCCCATGTGTGCATTGTAGTCTTCAATTACATGAGGTTTGATAGCACAGCCAGATTCATCTTGGAAGTTGCCATCCAATGGAGGAGGGTGCATATTCGTCAGAACATACACATCACGCTTGTCTTTCCAAAGAACAACACTTAGATTCCCCTTCACTCTTGTCACAATATCCCCTTTTTTCAATTTCATCAATTTGGGCCGAATTTCTTGTGGCATTCCATGCCTGTCATTGCTAACGGTGCCACACGTATATATTTTACGCTCTAGAAGATCGTCATACAATGCAGGGGAACTGATATAGCTGTCCATATAAAGTTTGTGTCCTGAGCCTTCTACTCTTCGAATTAGCTGGAGAACAATGCCATGGGTTGGTGTAATTTCTTCGGTTGCAAGTTGCCTTTGTTTCCCCAAATAAACAGTCATGTCATATGTATAGCCCAGAGAATCGCAAAGCTTGTAAATTTTTATTCCAAATCTTTTGTGTTTCTTTGGAATATACTGCTGAAAAACCACTCTTCCTTTGAAGAGCACTATCACTTCATCAACAGCAAGATGTTCCGATGGATGGTAAAGTTCACAAAATTTGCTGTTAAGACTGTTGAAAATTTGTCTAATCTTCCAGAGCCTATCGTACTCTGGGTCATCTCGATTTGGAGGAGCTTCATTATTCTCAAAATGCAGGAATCTCAAAATATGGAAGAAACAGTTGCGTACCATGGTGTTATTATAGAATGGAGTGTAGTACTGCTCATCTCTTGACCAATAATCTTTCAGGGTGTCCCGCTGATCGTGGCCCATTTGAATTATTATGGCCAAAAATTTTGACATTTCTTCAATTGTGACGTCAGGCGGTTGAGCAGAAGGGCCTGGAGCATCCTGGCTTGCCAAAAATTGATGAAAATATCTGTTTGTTTCTTGTACCAAGATCTCGAATATATGATGGAAAAAGAGAATGAAAATGGAAAAGGGAGAGGACTGAGCATTTATATTGGGAGCAGCGGATCTGTTGATTCCACTCGGAGGACCAGTGAAATCTAGTAGCTTTGGCGAATCCCCAGGTCTTCTATCGCGAAACCTGATCTCTATTTCCCCTGCTTCATTACTTGAGGATGATGATGATGATGATGATGACAATGACCTCATCGAGTTCTTCCAACTCTTCATCAGATTCATCTTCCATCAATATTTCCTCCAGTTCTTCAGCATCAAGGAGTTTTGAGTATTGGGCTCGTTTTTGAGGTTCCATCTTGGGGGAGGGGGTTTCCAGCTAAATCCTATAATTTGTGATGATTGAAAAAGCGAGACTGTTAGGAACACTTGCAAAATTGTGATGCAAAATAATTGCAATAGCAGTTGAAAAGTGCCAGTCTGCCACTGATACCGTAAGTCACAGTGACAAAGATGTCTTTATGCACAAAGTAACACTGGCTCAGTGGGTTTATACCTCTTCCAAGATACACAATAAAAATGGTATACAAAGAATAATAGGAGTCTGACAGTGACTTCCTAACTAATAATGAAATATTAGAAAATCCGCCACTGACGTCCTAACTGAGGAAACAACACTGCAAACCAATCCCTGAATGTGTAATACTTCCTTGAAAGCTCTGGTAGCACTGATATGCAAGCGCCCATGAATATTTCCTCCTCTAGTTTCTCAAAACAAAGCTGACTTCTATTGGCTCACCAGGTCATAAACAGTCATATCTAAACGTAAATAGTTTCGAAACCAGTACCCTGATAAACGATTTCATTGTTCAGAGCTAACAAATAAACATCTGACATGAACATTCATGAGTTTGTTTGGTTTTAAACCCAAGGTCAAACTGCCAGCACTCACAAAGAAAGCACGTGGCTTGCCTCTAAAAATTATAACGTTCGGGCAGCTCGGCTTGCTACATGATGCCAGTAATTATAACATTCGGCCGTTTAAAGTTAAGCACTGCAGAGCACATTAAATTCACTCCATCCATTCATTTACACATATATACGACATATCTCGACAACCACTGAATTAACTTTCATGAAATTCAATATTAGGGAGCTCTAATAAAATCTGTCAGCATATTCTCATTCTGGTTAAAATCTGATAATAGTCTCAACACTGAAAGCATCATTAAGTAGCCTAACCCAAAAGGATCACCATGCTATGCATACATTTCCTAACACATATATTCAGCACCCAGCAATGGTCTTATGAACACATGTCAAGATCACTGAACAATCAATAATGTTTTTCTGAATAGATACAAAGATTTGGATTCTATAACTATCGATAACAGCTGATGCTGGTATTATCTTAATGAAAGTACAAGTATATAAAATGATTTTTTAATTATATTACAGATTAAAAGTTAATCCATAGGTTTACAAAGACAGAGACAGGTAGCCAGCCAGAATAATGTTGTATTTCAAAGGAAATATTAGGACTGTTATGTAAAGACACTGCAAATGAAATGGGTTGAAACACACGACACTTCATTGCCTAGTGGTTGCTTCGCAGACATTTAACACATTGGCCCTTGCCTGCCAGATATGTGATTTATTAGGTGACTCAATACAAAGTCATAAGGAGCATCATAAGTACTGGTGAAAGGCTGGGCTGCTTTTAGAACATGACAAACTGTACCTTTGTTTAAAGTAATTACACTATAAATACTTAATATTATGAATAAAATATAAAATGAAAAATTCACACAAACTGAATTAAAAAAATCTTTCCACTCTGCATATTCATAAAATACACTCCACAGAAACCAGTCTCAGGGTTTCAAGACTTTTTAAATGCAAAAGCCATCAGCTTAGAGGAGGAAGATGTTACTATCTTCTTTGATGGTTTTCCTTCCTGTGAATCAGATTCTTCTTCTGATTTTCTCTTTTTAGCCTCTGATATTATAGTCTGACTCTTCTTTGGCAGTTTTCCTCCCTGTGATTCAGATTCTTCTCCTAGTTTTCTTTCTTTTGCCTCTGGTATTACAGTCTGACTTTCTGTATGAGAATCACCTGTTACTGGGATCTGTAAAAGATTTATCAGCATATGACAAAGACAGAAATTTAGGTCACTGCCATTCACTGTCACCAGTACCTTCACCATACAAAATGAAATATTACATATTCATAAATCTATCTGTATGAGAATCACCTGTTACTGGGATCTGTAAAAGAATTATCAGCATATGACAAAGACAGAAATTTAGGTCACTGCCATTCACTGTCACCAGTACCTTCATCATACAAAATGAAATATTACATATTCATAAATCTATCACATCGTGGACACATCCTCAGAATACAAAGAACAGGAAAATGAAAATTCACTCTTTACTAAATGTAGCTGTATTAAGTTGCTAAGTTAGTAATGTTTATTTTATGTTCCATCTATTTCACTGTTAACTTAACACACTCAACAATTTAAGGCCAATAATAAGATTATGTCTTCTGGGACACGATTCCATGTAGTCTGGTAGATATGTACCAAAGTTTCAGAGGCTCCACTGAAATGCTTATACCCATCTAACAGGCTACGCAGCGCCATGAAATATTATTAAACAAATTACGGTACTATGGAATAAAGGACAAACAATATAACCTATTTGAATCATATCTTTTAAGTAGAAAACAGAGAACTGAAATTTTTAATGGAGTAGATAGAAGCAAAGTAAACTCAAGGTGGGATAAAATAACCAACGGTGTCCCACAAGGACCCATTCTTGGACCATTGCTGTTCATAATATATATTAATGATTTACCAAAGATATACTTTTTGCTGATGATGCCTGTGTGTTAATTTCTCACGCAAATACAATAAAATTCAAAACCAAAATAAATGAAGTATACAGGATTTTGGATGATTGGTTTAAAAAGAATTTAATGTCTCTCAATATAATAAAAACATACTACATAAACTTCACTGCAAGAACTAGGTGTGATAGGGATATGGGAGAACTTGGTGCTATTATAACATGTGCTAATTACACTAAATTTCTTGGCCTGACAATCCAAAATGACAACTTGGGATGGTCATATAGAAGACATAATAAAGAAATTGAACAAAGCCTGCTATATGATAAGAAAAGTAAAACAAATAGTCTCCATGAAAACATTAAAAAGAGTTTACTTCTCATATTTCCCTTCTGTCATGTCATACAGTATAATGTTCTGGGGTAACTTGTCTCATGCTGAAAGAGTATTCAAGCTACAAAAGAGAGCTGTAAGAATAATGAAAGGATGTGGTTTTAGAGATTCGTGTAGAGAACATTTTAAAGATGACCCAAGTAAATTTGGTGATATATGGAAATGGGGTGTATCATATGGCGGTAAGGATTTATAATGCACTTCCAAACTCACTTAAGCTAATTTCAAAGGATATAAAAAAGTTTAAAGACAAATTAA